TGTGGGACTGTCAGCGCAAACATAAATCACAAGCATTTACTCGTATCAGACATTTTTGGATTGGCTCTCAAATATCATTTATATTACCATTTGTTTAGTCGATGTAGAGTTGTGTCACTTAATTGGATCCAAAGTGAATGTGACTTTCCATTACAAGTCTGTTTGGTTTAGTTTATTAAGTTAACCCTTGATTTGTCTACAAAAAAAATCACACCATATATATACACAATATATAGTTAGTCAACTCAACCCTACATTTCATTAATTTTAGTCATTTTACACATACATACAAACATATAGACACACACATGGATTAAATTCACACAAATTTTGTCTTTAGCTCTAAAAACTCAATTTATATTATAATTTGTAAAATGTAATAAAAGTATTTAATTTATACGAAACATTTGTTAGGATATCTTGTTTTTGTTCAAATAATAGACTTGTTTTTCGTTTTAATTTGAATACCTCTCTTATTAGTCTCTAAAACAAATTACTACACAATATATTCTGATATTGTTTCCATACATTTAATGCAATTACCAATGAATTTTGTGCACAATTTTTGCGAATTTTATGAGTGTCTAGAAATTTTATGTCATATATATATATATATATATATATATATATATTGAATAGTTATTAACCTTTTATTTCACTTTCATTAAATATTATTTTAAGTCAAATTAAATTATTTTTATGTAACTGAAAAAAATATTTATTATAACAAAAATAAGTTTAATTTATTATTAATTTGCTATCTATAATATTTTATCTGATTATTTGACTTTATATGATTTTTTTCATTTACTTAATTTTTATAAACAATTGGAGTATAATAATTAAAAATTGTATATTTTGTTAATGAAATTTAATATTAAGTATAATCAAACTAATAATAAGGTATAATCAATATGTTCAAAATTTTACAAATAAATCTAGTTTTATTTATAAATAGTATATTTTATATAAATCACTTTTAAACATAAATGTCTGTTTAAATTATTAATTGTCAAAAAATGATTTTCTTATAAAAATATAGTTATTTTTTGTTTATTGATAAATCAAACATAGAATACATACATTATATAGATTTATTGAATGTTTTATTTTTTAAAAGTCATTCAGAGCACGAAATTCATGCATTTCTCAATGTTTTACAAACTATTGGTTTGAATTAAATTAAAGATTTTTTGTTTTTGGTTATTTGTTTGTGAAAACTCTGCCAATAACTTTCAAATATGTTTTTATAAAATTTTTGAATAACAATAACTTCATTTGTTTATATATATATATATATATATACTTCTTATGAATCTTCAATAGGAATACTATTACTACTACAACTACTACTACTACTACTACTACTACTACTACTACTACTACTACTACTACTACTACTACTACTACTACTACTACTACTAATAATAATAATAATAATAATAATAATAATAATAATAATAATAATAATAATAAATATCTGCTGAAGTTGGTGTTTAAATTTGAATTTTATGCAAATTTCTTTTGAAAATAAAAAAAATAGTCGTTATATATATAATATAGTGTATATAAATATACATAAATTTGTTATATAATTTATGGCCCCATTTTGGCCAAACAAATCCTATGTTGCGTTTTCACTCAAATGCCTTATCACTAAAAACAATATTTACTCTTAAGACACATAAAAATAATAATTTTTTTTGATTATTAAATTAATGTTGTTTTGAATACATATTTTTGTAAATTGGTTTTTAAAAAATATATATATATTTATTTTCTCGGGTTTTTACAAATAGATAAATAAATATATAATTTTTTTAACAAATAATAAAACTATTGTTTTATTAATACTATTTATAACGGTTTTAACTTATTTATTATTTATTATCAGACTTAACTCTTATAGAGCTATGGGCTATAAAACTATTGATTTATTTTTTATCAACTGTTTGGGTAATATATAATATATAAAGAATATAAATATGAATAAAATAAACAGAAAAGCATTTTTGTTTGTTATTATACGCATATATCATGTATTTTAGTTTTATTTTGTTATTTATATATGTTTTATATAAACATTAATGCAATTAAAATCTTCTAAATTAATACTAGTTTAAGAAAAATATTTTAAACATACATTTTTAATAAACATTTAATGTCATCATAATTTATTTTTATTAAATATTTATAACAATCCTTACTAAACATTTTAATAATAAATAATAATATTAATAATAATAATAAGCTTATAATAAAATTGACTTGCAGAGTTTAAAATTAATTTTATTTTACGTAAACTATTTATTTAATATACAAAATATATACTATTAAACTATTTTAAAATGTTTATTATTATTAATTTAATTTTCTAGCATTTCTAAAAATTGCAAACAATATTTAATATCATTAATTTAAATAGAAAATTAAGCTTTCATTATATAAATACTGTATATAATGTATATAATGTATATAATGTATATAATGTATATAAATTTTAATATTAAATGAATCAATAGTCTATGAATATTACTCTCTATTTGAATACTAATCTATGTAAATATGTTTACTATTAGAGAGATTCCATATTATAAATATAAAAAATAATAGATATTAATAGTTAAGTTCTATATTAAAGAAAAAAAGTTAGTTTTTATAGTCTAATGAAGACATTAAATATCAATTTTGAGAGACAATCGATATTTTTATTATTAAAGTCTATTGTCATCGATATATACACAGTATTTACAGCCTTATCGTTGCAACGCTTTTTCAATGCAAAACAAGTCAAGCAATTCATTGCCTGAATAAATTGTATGACTAATAAATAGCTCTACTTTTATAATATTGATATATCATAGACACTAAATCCTCACTAAATTTCATGTAAAAAGGAAAAGGCATTGAATGGACATTAAATATAAAACTAAATGATTGCCAACATATCCATAGCATTAGATTTGAATATATGTGTGATCTAAGCGTACATTTTATATGTCTCAATAAATCCCATAAAAAAAGATTTATTCAAATAAAAATCAATTTTTACTACTATTAATATAAGTGAAAAAAATAATGACCACTTATTTGAAAGTATTTTGGATAAAAATAATCTCAAATTTTCCAAAATTTTATGTCCCAAACAGTTCAGCTCGGATTACACTACAATTAATTTTTATAGATATAATTTTATACCAGAAATTATTTTTTTTGTTGACATCATTTTGCATATTAAATTAATGTACCATATTTATTTTTATGAACCAAATAAACCATAAAACATAATATTTAGTTTAATTGAATTTTATTTTTGAAAAAAATCTTTAAATAATTTTTTAACACAATTTTAACAAATATTCATTTTTATGTTGTATTATGTTATTTTTGTTGTTGTAATACAAACTATACTAAAATAATATAATAATCATATTTACAATTTATTTACAATTGTATTATTTATATATATATTTATATATTTACAGTAATTTGTATTAAAAATTAATAATCAAGGCTACACTGAATGTATTTATTTATTTTTTATGTACTTATTATAATATATGAAATAAATATAATTTATTAATATAATGTTATATTTTAAAATAATTTTATTCAAATATTTTAAAATTGTATTCAATCAACAAGTTTTATGTATAAAAAGCGATTTAATATTTAAATATAATACATTTTTTATAATAAATATTTTATACTTTTTTAATAATTAACTTTGATTGTTATATAATTATATATTCTATGATTTAATTTATAGAAATTACAATAAATATATTATTAATATATTATTATTCAATTCATTCAATCTAAACAAACTATGTTTTTAACAGTATTTTCAATTCAAACAAATCGGCAAACAATAGTTATCATTAGTGAAACTAACAATTTTTAATAATTATACAGTATATACATTACAAAGTATTTGAATATTATTTTTTAATATCTCATATCAAACAATCAAAAAATATTTTTAATATTTTCAAAAAAGACATTTTGTTGTATTATATTTTTTTAATAATAAATATAATTTCAAAACTCTGTTTTTTATGTTTGCATTAGAAATTCATTACTTTTTACAGTTTCACACATAATATTCGATGAATTAGTTTATTATAACAATAATAATAATTATTATTATTTTTATACTGTATTTCAGCACAATTACAACTACATGTTTTTAACTTATATTTATATAAAAATGTGGTTTCATTTTGAAGTCTACTACTACTACTAATTATGGTATTATTTCATGTTTTTATAATGAAAAACTATTATAAAAGGTAAATGTCCATGTAAAAACATTGATGTAATAAAAATAAAAATAAAATTAAATAAGTTATGAAACTATATAATAATAATATAGCATAATATTGTGGTTTTAATTTATAACATTTTATATCTAACTTATATACTGTAAATAATATTCTAGAAAATACTAACAATTATCTATTGAGCGGAAATATGGTATTGATATAAAATAATAAAATAAATTATATAACTATATATTATTGTATATAATTAGAAAAATATATAATACTATCACTCAATACTAAATGTTAAAGTAATAATATTAAACAAAAATCAATGGTAATAATAATAATAATAATATACAGTACATGTACTATTTTACTGTCTATTTTTAATTTGATGATTAAAAATTCAAATGTCAATTATACATTTCATTAGTTTGTTTGGTCATCTTATTAAAAATCTATATATTATCACTTGATTTAAGTTAATCTAATTTAAGTTAATTAAAGCATTTGACGATAGAGTTTTGAAAAGTTAATGTTAATTATATGGTATATAATGTAATGAATGAACAAAAGAAAGAAAGAGAGAAATTCAAGTATAAATAGTAAAAACCTTTAGTAGATTTGACTAATAATGGTGTGTATGAAATGGTAGGTCATATATATATATATATATATATATATATATATATATATATATATTATTAAAGATAACATTAGAGTAAATAAAAGAAAATACAGTATAGTTGTAACTTATGTGTTAAATACCGGTTAATTTGTGTGTTTGTCTAAACATTTTTCGCATTTGATGTTCAAAACCGGTGACTGTTTTTCACACAACTGATGTTGAAGTGGACGGCATATTATAGTCCGACACCTGAACGACAAGTGACTTGAGATCTTCAGCACTCTTTGTTTTGCGAGGCATCTGTGGTTCGGGTGAAAGTGAGTCGCGGTGTGCAAAGGAGCCGACAAACACAGAATTAAGGCGCGGCCGATACGCCGGGTTGTGATATGTGGCGCCCGATGCGCACTGGTATAGCTGTCCGCTGCCCACCATTCGGCTGTGTTGTATGTATAGATCGCGGTCACAGACAAGACTGGTCCGACTTTCGGTCGAATGCATGTGTGTGGGAACTGTGGCACTCGTGCACGTGTTCATACGTGTGCATGTTTTCGGATGCAATGAATGCACTGAATTGCTGAATGTTTCTCTATATGCCGGCTGATAGGGCTCTAACATACGAATTTTGCCCCATTTATTGAAAAACAATAAAATACAACCAATCCATGCGATCAACACTACCACTACAATAACAACTTCGCCCTCTTTTACGTTAAGGCCGTCCGACATGTCGTTTAGGTCCGTATGTATGGCGTGATTCATACCAATGCGTCCCCAACGACGCGATTCTGTGCCGTAATTACATTGAAAATATACTTTTAATTAATTTGTAACAAATAAAATCATTAACGTTAATGATATATATATATATATATATATATATTGTATGTAATATATATGAAAAACAAACATTACATAAAACAATTAATTAATAGACTGATAAAATATATAGCTTTCTATGAAAGTTATCTGTTAAATAAGCCGTAAATTTTGTTAACAATTATAATAATAATATAAATAATTAAATAAATCGATAAATTTAATTTAATTTAACAATATTCAGAGCTTATTGTGAAATAGACTAAAAGTACTGTATTATATAGCGTATTATGTAATGAGCATTAGTTGTCTTAACAAATTGCCAAATATAAAAATAATACACTAAAATTAAAAATAAATATAACTTTATATAAATAAATAAACATATTTTTTTATAAAAAAAACAAACTAAAAACAAAATGGGTTTAGAATTTTAAGTGATAAACACTTTAGGTTTAAACAAAAATTAAATAACATTTTGATATAAATATATTGCAGAATCTTAAGTGCTATAAAACTTTTGCTAATAATGCATATTCTCGCTAATAGTCAGGAAATTGTGTAAATTGTTTTTGTAGTAAACATCTTGTAGTAGTAGTTAGTAGTAGTAGTAATAATAATAATAATAGTCCTATTGTCAAACGCACTGGGAGTCAAAACATACCGTTATCATAGTGGATGTCATAACTTGAATTATTGTCACCCAATTCGGACTCTGAATTCGGGTGAAGCTGTGGTTCGGTTCCCGGTGTTAACCGATCCAGTGTTGCATTATTTGGCAACTTTGGTGTCGGCGAACCTAAAACACAGTACAGCATATCGGCAATTGACAAGTGATTGATTGAAAATCAATTACATTTAACTTTTTAAAAAAATTTCTATTACTTTGAATTATAATATATATTAAAAGATATATACAATACAATATACAGTATACAGGTATATATATTTAGTGTATAATTGAGAAATTGTTGTTATATAACTAAGTTATATAAAATATATAACTAAATGTTTGTTTTATAATATAAGTCATTGAATATTACTGTATATATATATATTGTACGACAAAAAAAAAGAAATGGCACACAAAAAAATAGTGTCGATTCCGTATAGAAAATCAATTTTTTTATTTAACTTCTTGTTATGGAGAAAGAAGTCAAATAATACTAATAATAGTAGTTTTTATTATATATTTTTATACATTTCAAAGTAAAACTTAAATTTTTCAGTTCAATACTGTTGAACAGTTCCGTTGTATTTATACATTATATATATATTACAGAACATAATAATATTAATAATAATAATAATAATAATATGGTGTATATTAAAAAGTCACAACAAATTAATCGATGGTATGATGTATTGTTTTTTTTGTTTGTTTTATTAAAAATTGTGTTCATTTTTGGCCTCAATGCACATCCAATTTAATACCAATAGTCAAATGCATGAATCACTTTGTTGTTTAACTTCAATACAGTATTGACAATACTGACTATTTTCATAGGCAACGCCTGTCAAACATATCAGATACAAGTGGATGATAATGGGTTTGTTGTTTATCTGTATAATAGCACTTGCAGTCAGAAACAATCGTCAAACAACTACTACTTGCGGCTAAACTCATGTTTTAAAAGCCGATGAGAGAGAGAGAGAGAGAGAGARAGAGAGAAATCTGGTCGTATTAGTTGGCAGTAAGAGAGGGAGAGAGAGAGATAAGAGAGTAAGCGAGAGTACATCCAATGCTTTTTTCACGAGTAGTTGGATAAAGAAAAAACAGTTGCTTTCACTCTCTTTCCAGCGTTTTCATCAGTAATGTATTTGTCGTTCACTTTTACAAACAAGACTGGCCTCTGAATGAGCTCTCAATCATAGGTACTGTCACTCTCTTTCTTTCTCTTTCTCTCTCTCTCTCTCTCTCTCTCTCTCTCTCTCTCTCTCTCTCTCTCCACGAGTAACGCATCTTTCAACGCGTGTTCAGACGTAAACATCAATAGTGAGCAGGTCTTCACGTCACCACTCATTTATGTGGCCATTAAACTTATGGGGCTATAGATATCGATATACATGTATTTACTGTATATATTGTTTGTTAAACTTTTCCATTCAAGCGAACCTATTGATAGTTTTTTTCAGTTCATTATTATTATTGTTTTTTTTGTCTAAACTATCAGTCGATTGCCTAAAAAAATGTGATCATTGACTACACAATACATTTAGCAAACGCATGACTAAAATTTACTAAAATTTTCTTTCTGTTAATTTTGTTGTTCAGTATGTGATAACTCAAAGTTGTCTATCTATCTGTATAATTGTTTGTTTGTTTGGAAAAAACAATTTTCAAGTTATATGGTATCGTATTTCTGGGGGTATTTTAGACAAAATAAAATAATTTCCAATTTGATGATTGAGAACATTACTAAACTTGGGGTCCAACTGTTTTCTAACCTAATTATGCTTTTGTATTTAAAGTTACTATTATTTTTAGATTTTCGCTAAAATTAATATCTGGGTGACTATAAAACTAAATATGCACTTAAAATATTTAATTTACAATAACAATTGATAAAAGTTAGTCAATGTGTGTGAGAGAGACTAAAAAAATAAATGAGAAAAATAGAGAGCAAAATAATTATCTAAAATATATTTATTATTTTTAATTATAAATATTCTTATATTTTATACTAATGTTTATTGTTAACTATAATATTATATTGCATAGACACTCTCCTATATATACTGTACTTATTTAGCTGAGTAAATTGCAATCAATAGCAATAAAAATTAATTTCAGTCAAGTTTCTTAATATGTTGGAAATTATTCAGTATTTTTTGTTATTTGTTACACATATTGTTCAAATACAGTATTATACATATTATTATTATTATACATATAAAAAAAATATAATCAAATATTTGAATAAACTTTGATATTTATAAGTTAATCAAACAGTAGAATAATTTTATACATAAAGTTTTTTTTAATATTAAATATAAAACCATAATAAGTATAAATTAAAGTATATATATATAAATTTTAGTATTATACAGTAAATGATTTAAGTTTTATAAATAGTCATATAATACAGAAATACTAGTAAAAAACACAACAATACAAGTAATCGAAAAAACAACAATTTTAATTTATTGTCACAAAATTTATACTGTAAATGATAACACATGTGTAACATAAAAAACACAGAATATTCTGTATTGAATGTGTGATATATGGTATCTTTAGTATACAGTGTGTATGCATTTATTTTCAATAATATATGACAAAAAAACGTAGAAAATAGAAATATTTTTGCATCAAGTCTTTCAATGGAAAATAAAATACAACAAACAAAATACTGTTCAACAAAAAAAAACATTGCCTAAGAAAACATAGAAAATGTTTGGTTACACATTTGCTGTCATTATATGAACAAACAAACAAACAATAGCTCAAACAATAGCACAAACAATATTTTCTAAATTTCATAATAATTTTCTTATAAACTATAAATAAATATACTATAAATAAATATAAATTTTATATACATAGAGATTATCTATTTTCATATGAATAATGCCGGTATAAATATTGTAAATAATTTATAACATATGATATAATATATACAATATATTGCATTTCCAATTTGTTGGTGTATTTGGGCTGAAATTATTACAACAAAATACTAATTTGAAGCTTACATTATATTTGTCAAACAAATTGTTAGTATTATTTTTCGGATTAAATCCTAGACACTTAATCCTCATTTGATATTAAAACATATACAGGTTTTGTTTGGCAAAAATAAATTAAGTGCAAATTGATTTATTATCCCTAATAACAATTAATATAAATATAAAAAATAAGAGTATTTATATCATCATATACATGTATATACAGTGTATATATATTTATGATATAAACTTATATATTAAATATTATATTGTAAAAACTAATATTAGTGAAACTTATATACAGTATATATTGATACAAGTTATGACCTCCTGAGCGATATTTCTATAGCAACCATTGCTAACCGTATACCTAAAGTAACTTTTATCATCACTTTTAATAGATATATAATTTATAATACAATTATTATTACAACTGTATTGGAGTCAGAGCATGATCTCTCTCTCTCTCTCTCTCTCTCTCTCTCTCTCTCTCTCTCTTTCTCTTTCTCTAAAAATTATTATACATTACACATTATCAGTTAAATTGATATGTGTTTTTATGTTAGGGGTTTCATAGGTACAATAATAATAATAATAGTAATAATAACTTATACTCTTATGATATGATATACTATTACACGAGTATATATATGTTGAGTGAGAAGATCACATTTAATAAAAAATAGGTACAGAATATTCTGTATACAAAACAACAAATACAGTACAGTAGATGAGAGACAATCGGAAGTTACAGCTGTAAACCGAAACCAATTTTTCTTTTCTTTTTTGGTAGAAAATAAACAGATAACCGAAAACTTATATTACATTATATTATTATTAATAATAATACTTGATTGCGGTTAATGTGCGGCAAATGTATATAATGGGAACTCCATCTCTGATAAGACAATCAATTTGATTACATTTCATATACAATACAGTAAACCATATATACTGATAGTTCAGTGCCATATAAAATAATGACATATTTTTTTGCATTACAATAGTAACAAATAAAAATAAAATCGACTTTCTCTGGTGACACAAAAATATTGTTAACAAAAATTATATTTACTATTATATATATAATAACTATACTGTACAGTACAGTATATATCTGTAAATTTATATTATACAGTACATGTTTTATACATAAATCGATTTTTCTATTTTAGTACTATTATATAATAGATAAAATAACAATGTTGATTTTGTTTTATTTGTGTTTATTGTCAATTTTGTCACAATTTTATATATTATTCTGTGTATAACTATTACTACCGTATAATAATTGTATGTATTGTACAATACTGTTATTATTTATATAAAACTAAACACTTAAATATCTGAAAAATTGCAGTGGGATTAATAATATTAATAACAATAAAAATAATTACAACTAATAATAATAATAATATAATTTTATTTTATTATCAATTTGAAAGGTCACCTAAAAACAAAAATTTTTATAAAACTGAAACAAAAAAAATTACACAATAAACTCAAAATCATTATCATACTTTTTTGTGTATATATATAATATCAATCATAATATTAATATAATAAGTAATAAATATTTACAATAGATTTATATGTAAATTTGTAACAGAGTTTTTACAGAATATTCTTTTAAAAAGAGGAATAAAGATATAGAAGTTGAATAAAATTATATTTAGTATTATATTGGCTTTAAATACAAATAATAATAATAAAATCAATAATAAATTAAAACATAAATTCATTTGTTGTTGTTTTTTCGATTATTAGCAATTGATAATTAAACTTATAAGTAATATCACGTAAATAATAATATTATTATAATGACAATGAATTTTAAAATATATATATATAATGAATTAAACAATTTGATGATAAAAACAAAAAAAATATAATGCTGGTATTTTAAAATCACACAATTTTTTAAAAAATAATATTAGATACTTGATTGTTTTATTCACAATTTTATATTGTAATGGTGTTAATTCAAATAATTGCAATTGTTCAATTATTAATGCTAATTATTTTCTAAAAAAACAAAATTGTTTTATACATTATTTTTAAAGACCAGATATTTTTTTAAAAATTATTTTCGTGATAACTATTTTAAACAAATCAGTGTATCATTATTTGTTAGTATTATTATTGTTGTTGTTTTAATACTATATAATTACTTAACAAATAAAAAACAAAAACAACAATTTGTTAACCTTATTATTAATACATTCGTTACTCTCAATGATCTTTAAAAATAAATTGTGAAAAAATGCATTGATTTGACTCAAAAATAATGCTCATTAACTTAATTCATGTGTGTTTTTTAACCCTCAGATTTTGGCTGTCAATAATAAGTATAAAACTTTTTGTATGTATGTGTGTGTGTGCTATCAATTGTTTGATATTTTGTGTGTGTATTTGTGTGTATGTATATAAAAACTCTTAAATCCCGGTCAATACGAGTCCGAGATTTTTTTTATTATTATTTAAGCAATCATTTTATCGTCTGTTAATACTGTCGATCGATGAGACTGCCGGTGCAAAGCGCGCCGTCCATTATTTCGGCGCCTCTTTTTGCCCCTCTTTCTCATGTGAACCGGATTTTCCGGTTGATTCTTCATCATCATTCCGTCTATACATATAAATCAAATACATATATACAGTATATTAATTAATCAAAAAAATAATAATAAAATAAAATTTCATTACAAATAAAAGTTATCTCATATATAAAATATATACGTATATCTACTGTATATTTTAAATATATTCATTTCAATATTTTTAAAAGAAAACTTGCAAAACTAGTAAACAAATTTAACAAAAAATTATATATATATATCTCATTAATCAACTTATGGTACTACGATGCTACTGTGGTACTACTGTATTATTATGACATTTATATAAATAAATTAAAATATGAATTACGCCATATAACTTATGTAACCTTGGCATGAATATAATTTATATATTATATATATATATATTAACAAAAAAAAATTACTTTAAAAATTTAATAAATAGAAAATTAATGTATAAAATGCTATTTTATACACTACATTAATATAATTTTGTGTTATAAAATGTGGGTAAAATAAATAAACTAAATCTTCTATATATATATATATATAAATATATATATATACTGTATATATATTATGCTGTAAATTTTATGTAATATGAATATATTTTTATACGATTAACTATTTAAGTCAAGTCAGTAGTGTTGTTGGTTTGGTTGGTCATACATACCCATGTCATCGGCACATATGGGACAGCACTCATCATTTCTATTGATAACAATACTACACGCAGTTATTCGGGGACAGACTATCCTCTTGCAGTTGGATCTGCCGTCCTATCGATACAATTAGAAATAAAGATATAAAAATATTTTCTTTTATATACAATACATAAATCCTTTAATTGGTATATTTAATACTAAAAACAAATAGTTATACAGTATATTATATGAAAAAAACATTAAATAACAGTTAAAATATTTTTATTTGGCTCAGAGAGGTAATGTCTAAACAAATAAAATGATAAGAGAGAAAATAAAATATACAATATATATATAATTCATATAAATTAGGAATTAACACTATTTGTTAAATTAGATATCATTATCATTATGTTTAGAGAGAAACTAATTTATTTTATTGTTTCTCTCTCTCTCTCCCTCTCTCTCTCTCTCTGTTTACCCCAAAGTGTGTGTGTATTTGCCTTATCATTATATAACTAAGCACTTAATTGTTTGCATTTATTATCACTATTTTTTGTTATTTAGTAGTCCAATGATAAACTCCAAGTCTAGTCTATTGTAAATTATTATGACTTATCAAATAAATACTTATTTGTATTGTAGAAAACAAGAAAAACAAAATTATATAACTTATTGTTTAATTTCATGTAATGACCATAAATTAAGACATACCTTACAACGACACTTAACACACTTGACTTCACCGAATGGCTGTACAGTTGGATGCCATTCGTCTCCATTGGGATAAACTCTTCCGCGAAATTTACAACCTTTTTTTAATCCCATAATTAGACATTAGTTTTTTATTAAGATAAATAACCATGGTTATTAAATGCATGCATTCAATTCAATATGTGATATCAAAAGAGCGCACACACCTCCCAATGCCATTAACTCGTGAGGACTCTTGAGACCACCGCCAATAGATCTTTGATCACCCAATTGGTCAACCGATACAATAGATTTGACAGGAAGTGCATCTATCAATATAGATATATATATATATTAATTATATTAATATAAATAAAATCTTTTATCTAATTAATTATAACAATAATAAAAGTTTTGATTGAATTACTGGGACATCGTTTGCAACAATCCATAGGATTCTCACGATAGGCTTCCTGTTCGGGACACGTCAGAGCCGGACACACGATATTCCTCTCGCACTGTATTGTCAACGATTCGGCCTAAAAAATATGAGATCATAACAGAAAAATAAATAAAAATAATATACAAAAATTTAGTCATTAATAAGGAAAAGGCATTCAGTGGCATATTTGGCAATAATAAGTAGTAATCACATGAAAAAAGCAGAGCAGCAATAGGAGAGAGAGAGAGAGAGAGTGTGTGTGTGTGTGTGTGAGAGAGAGAGAGAGAGCCCCTCAATAGATAGCTAATTGAGTGAATGTGTGTTATTATTAACAATAGTTAATAATAATAATTATTGCAAAATGTGTTTGATTTATAGCCACATAGTTATAGTCATATAGCAGTGGATCTAATGATTGAAATTACCAGACAAGTACATAGTGAGCACTTATCAAAGCCAAATGGTGGCAGATATGGGTGCCATTTACTGCCCGCCAAATGAAACTTTTTGTCGCCATCTAAATAACATCCTTTGGTTGTTGTCGACTGATTATTTGAAACGGTATCTGCTGTTGGAAGTCATATAAATGAAAAAAATGTTAACATAAAATAATTGGACAGTTATGTTATGGCTTGAGTGAGACAAATGGCTAAATTGATGACATATATACCTAATTGGTTGGAGCAGACGGGACAACAGGAACCGGCTATCGATGTCTGATTAGTACAGTTTAGTTCGGGACACACTTCTTGTTCACATTTGACTCGTCCTCTCTGTTTTTATTAATTACTAAAATATTATTTGTGCTTATAATTAACATAATGTAAAAACTATGTATATTACATAAAATATATAACTAAATCAAAATGTTTTCAACTAAACATTTAATGATAAACAGTTATTAAAGATTACAATTTTTGATAAAATTCTTTAAATATAATTACCATAAATCTGCTATTTTTACGATTATTATTATTGTTAAAACAAATCAGTCAGTGATTTAATACTTATCATAATATCTGTTATAAATTTATTGCAAATAATGTGTTATTTATCTTTCTCTCTCTCTCTCTCTCTCTCTCTCTAACATTCATTTTCACTCTAAATTGATAGATTGATATCAAATAACTTAAATATATTCATAATTATTAAAAGCTTATATTATGCTTTTAATTTGATTTCCAAAGTGAGGCTTCATTTACTAAATATTTCAAATATTAAATAAATAATTTCGAGAATTTCTAGCCATAGACCAAACAACATATCAAATTTGTTTTCCTAAAAATATATATATAAATAGAATATATATATAAATTCCTATACATTAAGAATATAAATATCAAATTCAATATAAGGGATCAAAAATAAATCAAATTTAGTTATAAAAATACACATGTCTTTCATCGATTTAGGCATTTATAGACATCTCCGATATATATATAGTACAGTATATACAGTAAATTTAATAATTCATTGCATAATCGGTGCCTCTTTTACAATAAGTCAACGCAATCACTGTTTTTTGGCGATATATATATATAATACTGTATATATATATATATATATATATAACCCTTCGCTGCTGTCTATCCTATGTCTCTCAATTGAGACATTTTTTTTTTGGTGAGACATGAGTTTGGATAAAAATGCCAAAAAATGTAACTATATTTATATTGCATATAACGCACAATTTGTTTGCTAACCCTTTCAAAAAAGTGCCTTAAAATTTGTATTAATTTTTTTTTGGTGAAAATATCTTAAATTTTGAATCTATAGTTTTATATTCGACTATATAGTTTCGACTGAATTTCAATAAATAATTATTCAATTTTATTATCAATTAAATTTCATTTTTATGTGCGATTAAATTCACAAATTGTATATATTAAACACAAGAGGAAAATCAAACTATTTGTCTACACTTTTAAATATAAATATACATATAATCTGTGAACTCATTAAAACCATAAAAAATTAAGTGAACTAAACATACAAACACATCATATTTTTTTAGAGTAAGACATAAGCTATAAGTCATTGAATAAAACAAAATTAATTCATCGTTGAGTTTATGCGCACAAAGTTTTTGGCATTTTTTCTCAAACAGATTAAGACTTTTCCACTAATTTTTTATTTTTAAAATTCATTTACTATTTTTAAAATCTCTCTCTCTCTCTCTCTCTCTCTCTCTCTCTCTGTCACTCACTTAGTGTTAGTATAAATTTGTTTATAAGGGAGACTAATAATTATATTTTTCAATTTTAATACTCATAAATATATATATATAAATAAATCAATGATTTAATAGTGGCGTCTCTCTCATGTCATATCCTTATATCATAATAACCTTCAATAATACGATGAGAGAGAGAGAGAGAGAGAGAGAGAGAGAGAGAAAAGTTTTTAGTTATAAAGTACTGTCAATTGGTTGCACACAAAAAATGGGTTTACATTTCTAGAGAAAGCGATGCATTGATTTAGAAAATGTAAAAAAGCAGTTAATATTTAACAACACATACGCTATAAGACAACCGACACAAACAATTCAATTGTATACATACACCAAAAAAGTGAGAAATATTTGCCAAAAAAATAAAAGAGGCGACAATATTTGTGTCTATATATCTATAAGTTTTAAAAAAAAAGTTTTACTCTTTTATTGTGTAAACAATGAGAGGTCACTCCTTAGCGGTTCCTTAAGAGAGAGAGAGAGAGAGAGAGAGAGAGAGAGAGAGAGATCTGTCTTCACATTCATTGACACTATATTTTTACACATAAGACTTGTACCTCAAAAAAACACTTCCAACTTCTCTCTCTCTCTCTCTCTCTTACTCTCAAAAAAGCAATTTATAAAAATTCATATTTTTCTCAATATTTTTAATCTGTTTGATATATTATATGTTAGTTTTTCAACTGTGTCTCCAAATCTTAAGCACATGAATGGTAATTCTGGTTCAATATTGAAATGCAAAGTGCGATCTCTTATGTGTTTGTGATTTGTGATACCGATGAAAGTCATACCATAAGTGTTGCCATATTTATATATATGACTGACTCTCATGTGAAAAGAGAGCGAAAAATATTTTAATACGATTTTTATAACATATAAGAAATAACACACAATAGACATTCTCAACACAATTGATTGTCACACAAATTGTAGGGTAGGGTAGGGTCGGGTCGGAAATGGCGGTGCAATAGAAGAGACATATATATATATATATACTTTACACACAAACTAGTGGTAAAAGTATAGCCTCTTCTCAAACATAACACAATAATACCAGTATTTACCATATATTCAAGTGATTTGTTAGACTTTTGGATTAAAATCTATTGAATGAGAGAAAGGTGTGAAAGTGTGGGCTTTCGTACACCGATTCACCAAAAAAGTTATAAATTGATTGAAGAATCGTTAGATTCTTAGATAAAGAATGATTGAGAAGTGGAAAGTGAGAAAAGGCGTGCTTTTGCTTATTATACCAGGAGTTCAATTGCAACACTAATACAGTAATAATAATAAATATAATAATAAGACAACTAATTTGTATAATTAAATTAGCTTAAAGTTATAGTATAGTTAATAGTTGTAATAAATAGTAGTATATTGTATAATAAGTGGAATGATAAACAAATACAATGTTTGTGTTTAAAATACAAACAACTATTCATATTTGTGGAGCCATTTCAATGAATCAATTGTTTAAATATAGTATTTATATATATAAATATAAAACACAAATTACTGCCACTTTTAAAACCCCCAAAAATCTTTATTTTTGTTTCACTGACGATTACAAAAACATTTAACAGATATGCAGTATATATATATATATATATATATTGACAGCAGAAAATCATACATAAATTTTACAGTAAATATCGTTAAAATTTTTGTCTAACTATTTGGCTAATAATTCTTGAAATAATTAAGTATACATATTTATTATCATCATTATTAGTATTATTATTATTATGAATAAAATAATTTTAACGATACTGTGCAAAAAAAAGTAAGTGCTTTACACATAGAAAAATGTATTTTGCAAAAAAAATCTGTGTCAGTAATAAATTAAATAAAAAAAACAAAAAATAATAAAAGATAGCTTAAGTAATTGCTTTATAGTAAAAAAAACTAAGTGCAAGAAAAACATTACCAACAAAATTTGAAAACATGAGAAAAAATATTATAAGTTTATAAATATTGTATATAAAAAGATTTACCGGTTTATTCTTAATCTATGTAATTAATCAAAAAATTTATTTTAATTTATATAAATTATTAGTGGTAGTTTAAAATTTAAAAATCTCACTTATACGTAAGTTTATAATATATAATAAGCGTGAATGTTAAAAAAAACAGTAAAACATTATTAATATTATTATGTAAAAAAATATCGCCGAAAACTTGTTTTGAGGATAAATGAAAATCATAGTATAAGTGGGTGAGTGAGTAAATGATTGAGTGATGTATATATATATATATATATATATATATATATATATAAGTATAGAGAGTACCGGCAGAGACCTTCAACAATATTGATACCGAGCCCATGGATAGGGACTCGTTTGTGGTGGTAGTGGTAGTTATGAGGTGGCGATCGTGGTATGACTAACTGATTGAGATATCAATCAATTATACTACTATTAGAAAGTTGTTTGCAATCATAAAAAATTATATACAAACATACTGTATATAATTTACTACTACTATAACTATGAATATAAGTTAGCGATAAATGCTAAAACAATTAAAAAAAAACTAATTATTAACACCAATACTAGAGGCAGTATAGATGGAAAAAATATTTATAAGTTAATAGATAATAAATAATATTAATTTGTTAGTATTTCATTGAATTCTGTAATTAATAATATTTTGTATATTTTTGTTGTTATTTATAAAATAAATATTTAAATAATTTGGTGACAAATACCTGACAGAAGCACATCTCGCAGTCGTCTCTTTCGGTCTTCCATTGAGAGCCTTCTTCATAGATCTTTGCCTCGTAATAGCACTTATAGGTTGGCTCTCCGATGATATTATTTTGTTGGTCATCATTGATAAACTTTTTCGTCATCTGACTATCGTCTCCATCGACCGGCACCGGCGAGCCCTTAGTCGACGAGTCATTACTATTGTTGTTGTTGTAGCTGTTGTTGTCGGCGGCCGTATGACTATTGGCCGATTCGGTGGTCGTCTCATTGAATGTCGGATCTTCATCTCCCGGACATGACTTACAGCATCGCTCCGGTAGTAACACCGGGTCATCGCACGAGGGCTTAGGGCACTCGTTCTTAATGTTCTTACACCTGACTTTGGCGACGACACGACTTTTTCTTTGCACCTGAAATATACATTTCATTATATGATAATTTCATAATAATAATAGTAATAATAATCTTATTATACAATAACAACAACAATAAGTAAAAAAAAAGTTCATCACTACTAACAGCTATTATTAAACTAATCAACCAATAAATTGAAAGTCACTTCAAAACATAATAAACTTTTTTTTTATTTTTATATATCATATTATAATACTGTACTTTTATATAACGCTATTATTTAAACTGTAATATCTCTGTATCTTATTATTATTATTATTATTATTATACCGTACTGTAAATTGTATGTATTGTGAAATATACACACATTATCTCTGTTTTTTTGCTAATGATTTTTAATGTAAACGTGTTTTACAGTTGAAAAAACAATGTATTTCAAAGTTATTAGTTTTTGCAAAGATTATAAATAAATGCCGTATAAATATATATATATATATATATGTTTAAAATTAAATGTTAAAACATTAATTAATAAACAACTTTTTAAAACTATGAACTTCTGTGAGATTAGTTAAAGAGTTAAGTTATCGATAGTTTTGTTTTTTAAAAGTTAATAATAGTTTAGAAAAATAAAATTAAAAAAATAATGGTTTGTCTGCAGACTTACGGCAATACATTCACAGCGAATACAATAGTAAACTCCAAACGGCTGTAAATTAGGTTTCCATCGGTCGCCCACTTCATGGGTCTCATTACCAAATGGACAGCTTATGGAGTTTGACGGCACCGTTAGCTGATGCCGGTGTTCGTAGACATCTTCGATAAGCGGCGGTCGCCACCGTTTGCGGGCCTCGCACAGCCCGAACCAGTGGCCACTGGCCGTCAAACATACACAAGTCACTAATAGTGTGACTTTTTTGAGGCATAAAACCCTATCTCCTATTGAATGTCTCATGTCTTGTGATTACTGATCGCAGATCGTGGAGAGCATCTGACGCGCGATACGTGACGTATTCAGACCACTATAACCAACCAATGCCAGCACTGGTAGTACGCGGGGCGGGCGTATCAAAGGCAACTGTCTCAACAAATTTACGTCACAACCAAACACATACAAACACTATACTAATAAAACGAGATTAACACTATCTGGTAACTAATTTTACCACAATTTTCAAACCATCATCATCAAACTTATATAAATATTCACCTAGGTACTCCAATCAATCAATCAATTAGTTATGTAATTAATTATTATTATTATTAATCAAATATTATATACATAACTAATAAATTTAAGAAATATTAATAACAAAATTTTTGATTCACTGAATACACAATTATTATTATTAGTATTACTTTATTTATAATTATTATTTATGGTTATTATACTATAAATTTAAATTAATAACTATCAGAATTTCATATATTTTTTTATTATTATTATTAATAATTATTAGACATAATGTTTAAAAACACACACACAATGTGTTTGCAAATAGTTGTCACACATTTCCAAAAATAAGTAGTTTAGCAAAGTTGTGTCAGATTTGATATACAATATTAATAAATGTTAAATTATTTGATAAAAAAATATCGCAATAACCAGTTATAAAGTGACTAATCCATCAAAATTCATATGTTTATATATATATATATTTATTTATATTTGATTAAATCGTTTATTTATAGCAAAAACTTATTTAAAGCAAAAATTTTTGCCAAAAATATTTTTATGTATTAATGTTAACCACTTATCTCTGCCGTGTGTTAACCAAAACTATTGCTCCGAACGGCTATAACTCGGATGTCGAGTACTTTAATCTAGAAATCTATTGATTTGTTATTAAGAGATCTGTTTATTGAATGTCACAATAGATTATAGTGATGATGACTACCCCCATGAGTATTGCCCAAATAAATGGACATTTTTGGCTAATGAATGTGTCGTTGACAGCACAGGTGTGAAAGGTTGGTGTCGATGAAAGTGTTAACACACACACACACTATATGCCGGTACTGGACATGTGACCACCCATAGGTACTTTCATGTATATATATTTATATATTTGTATGTAATGCTCATATATATGTATATATTGAGGTCATTTAGTGATCAAATTGTCTTTAGATTTTTGTTGGCGTTTTCAAAAATAAATGCTTATATAGCTTTACAACCTTATAATAAAAGGATTGGTATGAGAAAAGTCAACACCAGGTGCATCAAAATACAATAGATTACTATATAGATTGCAGGCTTTTAAATTATAAGCTTTTTGCTTAATTTTAACAATTATTGTATGATAATAATTCAATAGATAATATTCAATTTAGTCGTTGTTGCCAATTATGTCTCTTAAATGCCAAATAACATTAATTATAATTATTATTTATTAATTAAATAATTATCATCAAAAAAAAGTTCTCAATATATTATAAATATATTAGATTCCTAATTTATAACTTAACTCAACTATCATGGGATATAATTAAAATGTTAAACTACTTATTATTATTATTAGTGATAAAATTAATCAAAATCTAATTAAAATATGATTATTCAAACAACTTATGCTAAACAGTGTTTCACTTATAGTAAATCATAAACATTAATAAATCTTTTAATAATTTTTATATGTTTTCACAAATTTATAATTAATTTTATTCGATACTCTGTATGTGAATTTTTATTTATATTTCTATAAACAAACCTTATTTAACATTTCTATTTTTAATATATATATACAGGTATATATTTGAAATGATAAAACAAACTAAATAATAAATCATGTTTTTTATATATATAATTGAATATGAAAAAATAATTACTGAAAGTTTCATAACTTTTGATTAAAATACTAGTCATATACTATTTTTTTTAAAATACTTTAATTCATACAAATTAAGTCATAATATATTGAAAACATAAAAATAGATTTATTTGAATCAATTAAATTACAAACTATATTACACACACACAGTATGAGTGTATTCACGTCTGTGTTCAGACAATTAATTTATGAAATGATATACAAAGTGCATACAAATTAATTTTATTACATTATTCAATCACTTTTAATGGCTTGACTTTGGCTTTGATATATAGTCTGCTATACCATACGTTCCCTTCAGTAGGCGACTCGACTCGAGAGGCAATTGCTCTTTGGGTATGGGATACGGGCCACAGTCGGCCTCATATATCATTGGCAGCCTTAAGACCCAATATGTAGACTGAGATAGTCGGATGGGTTCAGTGTTGCCCGCATAGAATATGGGACAGGGCATGGGCGCCGGTTGCACACGGGGGTTCAATGTTACGTTTACCGGCGCTTTAGGTGTGACCACATGTATTCGCATTAATTGCGCCAATACGGAGGGCTTTCCCTGTCGGCTATTAATCGAGAATAAATAAAAAATAACAGTCGGCAACAAATTGGACAGAAAAATAAAAAAATAAAATAAACGAGAGATGAGATATATATATATATAAATATAAAATTGCAAAATAAAATAAAAATAAAGTTAAAGAGTTATTGAATTATGGAAATGGTGTTTAAAACAACACTAATTCCATAATTTATTGCTTTTAAATGTTTGCTTTCGTGTGTTGTTAACAAAAAAAAGGAGACGTTTGACTCCTAAAACATGACATTATCGCTGCCAATAGACATAGGATAGGCATGAGATGGCATATAAAGAGATGCTAAAACTGTTTAATAGCTATAATATACAATATATATGTATATATACCGTATCTCTCTATATGTATAGCTTTTATTTAGAGCTATAGATCTATGACTAACTACTCACTTGCAGACACAGGGCATATACAGTGGCATATCATTGCTGGCGACGCGATTGGCCGACTCCTTAACGATACCCATATTTGTTTTGAGCACAGAGTCAGGTCCAGAAGCGATGAAACGGTGGCCGCGATGGCACTCGTACTCAACCCCAATGAATACCTTTACAGTGAATTGTGTGCCGTCTGTGTGGTCGACAAACAACAACAACACCAACAAAAACATATGAATGAATGTATAAAAATTAAATTCAAAAGCAAACACCAAATAGTTTTTGGGCAAAAACTTTTTATAATATCCTTTTTTCCTAACCTTTAAACGACTTCTTATTTTTAATGCCCGGCGGTCTCTTCCCCTCCCAAAGAGGCGGCATATGTCCTGCATGTTCCAGCTTTACGGTCACATCCCATGGCAACAGAAAGTTTGCACCGCTTATAAAACCAGGCTGTTCTTGAAGGCCTATATTATGTGAGTAGAGACTGGAAGCGCCCAAACAAACCAACGACCAGGAACTATAGCGAGGCAATAGACCCGCCGGACTCATCGTATGCAACATTCCCGGCAAATATTCTGTTGTCGACGATTGATGCATAAGTGATCCCATGTGTGGACTATCTCTTTCACGGATAACCAATTGAATATCGTTTTCATTATCAGGTGATTCGTAATATTCGTCACTTTCCTCGTCAGTAGTGCTATTAGTTTGTGAATTTTCTTCATCATCGTTATCATTGTCGTCATCGACCAACTCTTTAACTAATTGTTCCGATCGTAGTTCTAGTTGTGGATCCAATTTATTTTTCAAATCCAATTGTTCGGTCACAACATCTAATTTGTCCTCTTCTTTATCTTCTTTGACATTTATTTTATTAAACTCTTCATTTAATAAATCAGTATTTAGATCAACAGTTTCCTGTTGGGATAAATTGGTAAATGAAGAGACGCCGGCGTCGGGCTGAGACTCAAAGGCCATTTCTGCCGGTGTGAGTGATGTTTCAAACTGAGAACTGATAGCTTTTAAGTGGACAGGACTTCGTGGTATGACAGTAGTACGGGCCGGCTCTATATAGTCACTGCTCGGTTCAAACACTGGAAACACGATTCTCTCAAAATGACCACAACTGCACTTATTCTTTATCAATGCAAAGAAGTCATGATTTGCCGCTTTTACGGTAAATGGATCCTCTCTTGTGGCTTGTCTTCGGCCACAATCACAGGCACTAACTATTTTAGCGCTACTTATATGTCTCATAAGTGGCAACTTTTGATCCGATTCAATCTCCGCCTCGTTTGTCTCATCGCTATAGTCATCAACTTTAAGCCTATGAATTGGATTAATGCAGTGATTATTGGTCAGACTGAGCACTTCACACATTTGATGTCCATTTTTCCAATAGTTGTCGCACTCGAGTTTCAATTGTTGACAATAATCATAAACAGCCGATCCTCTGGCCTGCATTGTAAAGTGCTGTAAGGCGTGAGCCAATTTGTGTTCATGAAAGTCACGGGTATAGTGTGGCGGCAATGTGTCCTGGTATGTGCTCATTGCTATTGGCAACAATTTGGTGCATCGGGTTTCCGAAAAACGGGTATCGATGTCTAGCGATGAGTTCAACGAATTGAAAATTGTTTTCAAACTCATGTTGTTATCCGAATTGGGATTAAAAAATAGTTCTTTTAATTTGAGTGTCACCTGAAAGAACTCTTTAGCGGTGGGCAATTCAAAAATAGGAGGCGCCGCGTGTCGACCTATGTTATCGTCAAAACCTTTTGAATGAGCGATTCCAATATGTGTCCAGAGAAATGAATAAAATGAATTGGCTTCGGCATCACTTTCATCATCACTGGATGTATTGGATGTCTTATCTTCGACATTGCAATACTTGATAAGCTGTTCCATAAGATACCGACTCGAATCGCGAATTGTTGGATCTCTGGTCGAAATGAAAACATATTCGTGATGTGAAGCGACTGCAAACAAGGAGTTGGCGCTTATGTTTGTAATAAGTCGTGTCTTTCGTAATATCCTATAAATTTGGTCTTCAAGTTGTTGTTCGGCATTTTCAAGCCATTCCTTTGTCATAAATTGATTCTTGTTGTAGGCCTCGAACACAAACAGTGCTCTCGGACTACACAGACGACCCGATTGTACCCAATCGGCCGGTAATGATAGCAATTGAAGAGTTTCGCTAATAATTGGCTGTAATTTTTGTCGGGTTGAGTCCAAAATGCGAAATAAATTTATTTGATTTAAATCGAAATGTGGCGAAGGATTCACAATAACTATGACATGACTTAAATGAAACAGAAGTAGAAGTGCTTTACAGAGATTTATCTGTAAGTCGGGCCACATCTGGAGGAAACCCTGTCATTGAAATATATTTAATAAAATAGTTTTTAAATTATTATTAATAAAAACCTTTTCGTAAATATCTTTTTCAATGCCTTTGCATATCTGTATCAACGCCTGTGAATCCAAAGCAGATGTCAAATGAAGAAATATGACTTTATTTCGGACGTCATAATAGCCATCAATTTGACAGTTCTGGTCATTACATGGATGTAAATCAATATTAATTTATTGTTAAAACAATGTCATAATATTTTTTTTCAATTAATTGTGTAAATTACTAATAAATTTCAATTTACTCTTATAATTAATGATTTTTTTTATTAATTTTTTTTTAAAAAAGTTTTAGAATTATCGATAGTTATTAAAAAAGTTCAATAAATGTTTACATAAATTAAAATGTTTTTTAAAAATTTATTCAAACATAATAAATGTCATTAATTATAACTAACTAATAACTAATAACTAATAACTAATAACTAATAACTAATAACTAATAACTAATAACTAATAACTAATAACTAATAACTAATAACTAATAACTAATAACTAATTATCAATCAAATGATATCAAAATCTAATGTCATCAGTGGTTAACAAGAAAAATGAAACCACAAATAATTGATTCAATAAAAACAAAGTTACCGTTTGGTCGAAGATTTTCTTCATTTGACAAAACAGTCCGCGAAAAACATTTCGACCGATCGATTGGTCGACGAGTGAGGCCTTTACGTTGTGGGCCGACAGACACGACTTGCCGATCACCGACACTACACATACTTTGTCTTTGCGGACCGATTGCGGACAACTTTTGTTAAGATAATCAAACGAGTTTCTGGTGTCGACATTCAATATATCATTAAATCATTTATAACTATATATCATATAAAGTGGTAAAGACTTACTGAAGACTCAAGTCGTCGTCGGAAAACAACTGAAAAGTGTGATTCACTTCTTGAGCCGCAAGAGTGGGTCCGTTGTTGGTGTTGCCAGTCGTCGGAGACATCGATGTTATTATTGTTGTAGTTGTTGTTGTCTTTATGGTTAAAACGATGAGTTGTTTGACCCGACGGTTGATATTAATTGTCAATAACTTGACATTCAATTCATTTATAATATTATTATTAAACCAAATGTTTGTATATTTTTTTTATTGGTTTGTTTTGATCGACACATGTGTTCACACATTAAATACGTTCATCAATTGGATTACATATTAAGCAAATAAAAAAATATAAACCAAAACCCTAACCGTGTTTTTCTGAATTGTTTTACAATATTTTTTAAATAAAAATTAAATAATCAGAAAAATAATGTATTAATAATTATTAATTTATTAAATAAAAATAATTTGTAATAAATATTAATATTATATATATCTGTATACTGTATAGACAATAAATTCTACAATTAATTATTAATAACATTTTCATATTATTTGCATTCAAATATAGTTTTTAAATTATTTAATATATTGTGAATTATAGTTTTTTTAAAATGTAAATTAGACATTAAAAATATATTTTGTAATATTAATTACAAATGATTTATTAATAATAATAATAAAAGTTATTATTTAAAGTCAATTAGACGTGTTTATTAGATAGTAAAATTAGGATCACTAGTGTAATAATAAATTGTTAATATATATTGCAAATGAGAAAAATAAAATATTATAATTTATTCAAATTATAATAAATTACTAATAATATTGCAAAAAATAATTGTATTATTAACTTATATTTATAAATAATGTGCAGTCACTAAATCTTAATTTTTTATTTATTTTATTTAAATATAATAGTTAACATACAGTATAATTTATATCATAGTTATAGCAACCAATAAATTCAATGCATATTGTAATATAATTATTAACAATATAGTAATAATTAAATATTTATATAAATTGACATTCAATGAGTACACAACTTATTCAACATTAGACATGAAATTCATAAATATTCTTATAATATAATATAATTAGACTAAAAATACCTTATTTTTTTATCTGTAGAAATTTGTAATATTTTTTTTAACATTAATGTAATAATGATAAGATAATAGAATATTTAATTTTTTTAAATAATAAATATCATTTTAAAAAATATTAATTAAAATTATAAACCATTTTCGTATCAATTAGTTTAATAAAGCAATTACATATTTTTAAATATTTGATAATTGTATATTTCAATAATACATCTATGGTTTATGGTTAACTGAATATAAAATACTAATATATACCGGTAAAGTATTATTATATAATTAATTATAATAGTAATTGAATAGTTACTCTATACAGTATATAGTTATATAGAAATAACATTTTATTTATTATATTATGTAATAATTATGTTTAATTAAAAGTTTTACATTTTAAAAGTTAATTTAAGTGTAGAAACTAAATATTTAGATTATTATTGTTATTATTAGATGACTATATGAAATGTATTGTCAAAAATGTTTTGTGTTATTTATAAGGTGTTGCTATCATTTGCAAAAGTCATTCAACTATTGATTATTTAATAGATTTGATGACAGAATGAATTATTATACTATTATATATTTAGATAATAATAAACAATAAAACAAATTAATGCAATATTCAATGCAAACTATAGTATACATCAAAATATTTGATTAAATGTATAGATTAAAGAGTTAAAAGGTTTAGTAAAAAATAAAAGACAATTTTTTTTATTTATTATATATATTTTTAATGCCTTTAATATGTGTCCAAACGAGACAATAGACATCAAATTTTGTCTGATATCGATTTGTTTTGTCGTATTTTTTTATATAAACTTATACATCAAAAGAGAAATACATCAAAGTATAGCTGTCTGGGCTTAGGGATAGAGGAAGTGAACGATTGTTATATTAGCTAACATTTTGGATGTGTGTGTGTGTGTGCAGACACATCCACTCCTATTGATTCACCAAAAACTGTTATGTTATGTAACAGTTAAGGCCAGTGCACTGTTAGACAAAATATACTGTAATATTATTACATATAGTTTTATAGCATTTATTATAAACACATACAACAATTTAGTACTGCTTTTTAAAGTCAAGTAATTGAAAATGTTTATATCAATGTTAAATGGAAAAAAATCAAAATTTATAAAAATATTTATTTCATTATTATTATTAAAATATTTTTAAAATTAAATATAAACATTTAATAAAATAAATATTTAAATACAAAGTTTTATATTTAGTTTTATAATTATAATTATACGCTAAAAATAATAATGAATTTATTTATGACAAGACATTTTTAATAACAAGATTTTTTTTTGTTTAATGTAGTGATTATATGATAATTTTTTTAATCCAAATTTAAATCTAAACTTTTTTTTGGTTTTTGATGATTAAGTGTATAAAATTAGAAGACATACTCTCTTTTTTTATGCCATTTCATCAGATCTTGTTAATGACAATCGATGTCATGATTATTAGTATTATTAGTATTAACTTTATATTACAAAATTTAAATATCATATGACTTTTGTTATATATATACTGTATAATATACAGTGTATATAAAAAAGTGTAACTCCCAGTGAACTCCCTGTTCAACATATAGTTTACAAATTGCAATTTCCGTGTTGTTTCTCACTTACAAATGTATATAATTTTTTATGAGACAAATCATTTTTATAATATGATATATAGAAATATATTTGTTTGATATTACAAACACATTGTTTTTTCTAATAGATTATAATATTTTATTTGTAAATTAATTACAAAACTATTCAATACACACACAAACATTTTGTTAAATTTACGGTATATATAAAAAATTAAATTTATAACTTTCTTTAGTACCCAATATGTGGTCCCATGGCTTACATATGTAATTATTTTAAATAACAATTTTGATCACATGTACACATCACTACACATGTAAATACAGTATTTATATACAGGATTAATATTATCAAAAGTTTACATAATATTATATATAAGGGACTAAAATGCATTAAAATAGTGAACAATAGTGTCACGCAATCAATGTTTTTATTATTGTATAACTTTCTCTCTCTTTTAACTAATTATGAATTATTTATTTATTTTTTAATTTTAGATTTTTTAATAACTTTCTTCTATTAAAAAATAAAAAATAATATAAATGAAATACCGGAAATATTTTGTGTGTATTTCATATCTTTATTAATAAAAATAATATTTTATTTTTAGATATTGCATTTTAAAACTTAATATTTTAAAACAAATAATACTGTAAAAATATACAACTATTAAATGATATACAGTATACACTTTTTTAAATGTTAATAAATTTTAACAACCATTATATTTATGAATTTAATGATTTAAAAATAAATTGAATGTATGTTTGTTGAAATTAATTGTCTACATATAAAAAATTGTACATTCAAAATACAATAAGTTATATACAATCTAAAAATCATTTTAAATAACAGTAAATCTAATATTAGTTTTTTATATTACGTCTATTATATTATTTTTATATATACGAAAATTTAAAATAATAAAAATTATTTTTTTGTCATATCATATGATTTACAATAAAAAAATACAGTAATAATAATAATGATGAACAACAATAAACAAAAAACAAAAAAGGGCAATTCCCACATTTTGTATTAAATTATATTTTCTAACTTAAGTCAATTATTTATTATTTGTCATTTTATTACTTGTATTATACAATATTTCATTAGCAATATTTTTTTTTGAATTTTTCAAATATATTTTGATTAATAGCCAACAACGCTATGAGAACTTAATATTTGTTTTTTTAATTATTAATAATAATTAGAGTTATTTTAGTTTATGTCGAAACTTTTTTTTATTAATTTAAATTGAACAAAATTATAATTTATGTTAAGTCAATTTAATAAATATTTAAAATAATAAATCTTTATTTAAATAAATTAAAAATTTTGACACCTTTATACAATATTTACTTTCTATATATAGTTTATAATTTTTTTAATACAAAAATAAAATTTTCAACTAATTTAAAATTAGCTCAAACTTGACTTAAATAGACACTGTATATTATTATATTTAAATTTATATATCATTAACATTGTATATTATTAACATCGATTTAGATTTAAGTTCAAATAAAACTAATTATTTATCAAAATTACTATAAACAGATTATAAAACCATAGAAATTATATTTTTTATTTATTGTATATAAAAAATAAATGCATAGATTTTTAACATTAAATATTAAATATTATATGATTTATGGTTCCTAAGAATGCGCCACAAATTCATACAATTTATGTCTCATTTGTCAATACTATATACCAGAGTCTTAAAAAAATATATATTTTCTTAGTTAATCTTTTATGGGATAAAAATCGATTTTTTATTCATCAAACAGGTCAAGACATTTATAATAAATTGTCTAATAATAATAATAATAATATAAAATATTTTTTATATTAAAAAACTTATAAATAACAAAAAAAATCAATTCATAATTTATAATAAAGTGAATGTTTAATGAGATAAGACATTCAAAAAATAAAAAATAATTGACTGATTAATAATTTACATATTATATATGGATATTATTATTAATATTTTGCAGTTAAATAAAAATTCTATGAAAAAATAAAAAATAATAATTGCTTGTGAGATAATAATATATTTTTATCAAACAAAATATTATAATTTTATATTGAATTTATTGTTGCGCTAACTTTGCATTTTACAAACACACACACAAACAGATCCAAAATAAATTTAATTTATATTATTTATTATTAATAAATAACTATTAGTTAGACAAATACGATATGACAAATAAAACAATAGCCATTTGTTATATTTCACATATGAATTAGGACTAATAGAAAATAGTTGTCATAAAATTATTGTTTTATTTTGTTTGTAATGAATTTTTTTTAATTATTAATCTATACAATGATGATTGACTTAGTTTCATAAAAATGTTAATAATATTCTATTATTTATTTTTTGATCATAATTTAAGATAAATATAATATAATGAAAAATATTTTGTTAAGCAATAAAATGCATGTGATACATAAAAATTAAATTATTAAAATAAATATATTATATATTAAAACAATTATTTTCTTATATATTATAAAACAAATCTAATATAAATTCATTTTTTATTAAATTACTTATTAAACAATTTTTATATTTCTAAATATTTTTGTTAAAAAATATTGAAAATAATGAATTACATGTAATATTTATATGATTAGTAAGTATTTTATCTAAGGTATTGTAATATAAAAAATAATATTATTAATTTATAATAAAAATTTAATGCAATAAAGTATTTAATAATAATAGTAATAATAATATAAACATAAAATAAAATAAATTTTATTGAAACAATTTGTATTCATTTCAAACTCAATGCATTATTTAATAAATAAAAATAAATAAAAAAACAAAAATTTATAATTAAAAGTATTTTTATTTAAAGTCGATTATGTCATACAAAGGGAGTTAATCGAGTAAAGCCCAAAACTTTTAGTTTTATTTGCATTTATTAAAAAATATATATATTATTTAACTAAATGTATTTAATTAAATAATTTAGATCAGTTGATAAAATCAATAATAAAATTAAAAGTTAACAGTTGTGTAAACTACTCTAGTTTTTACAATTAGTTATTTTTTTGTGGAAAAATAAACAAAAATAATTTTAATGTCAATTTATTTTACCAATAAATCTATCATCATTGAAAACAATAAATAAAATAACAATTTAAACAATAAATATGTAATTATTATATTATGTAAATTTTAGTGAATCATCGTCAAATCGCATCATTAATAATATTAATTAATTTTATACAATGAGTGATAAATTTAATTTTTTATAATTTAATAATGATTTATAAATAGAATTATAAAATTTATTTTCAAAATAAAATAAGTTTTATTTATTTTTTATTTTGTACATTTTAAATAAAAATTTGAATGAATATAAACTTAACATTATACATTAACATTATACAGTAATTTAATTAATTTTTATTAAATATCCATTAGTTATTAAATTAAATTAATGATAATTTTGTTTTTAAAAACAAATTAATACATTTATATAAATTATAATTGTTGTACATAAAATATATTTATTTTATTACTGTAAATAATTTATTTATTATTTAATAATTCATTTTTTAAATATTTTATTTAATTGTCAGTAATTTTAATAAGATTGACTTTAATAATATTAATATAAACATTGCTACTACTAATAAAAATATTATACTAAAAAAATATAATTTTGAGATACCGGTATCTATATATACGATAATACTAATATTATCTTAAATATAATAATATATTTAAAATATATAATTATTATATTAGTCCCAAATTATCAAATATTCTCTTTAAATACTATATATTATTTAAAATATTACAATTTATTTGCTATACTGTGTAATGATAGTTAATTATAAGTTATATATGAATACCATGTAAAATGTAAAATTTAAATTGAATTGCATATCAATCAAATAATTATAAGTTTATATTCAAAATATTTGTAACTAAATTATTAGTGTATTAAAAACATTTTATGCGAAGCAAATAAAAATAAGAAACATAAATTGTTTTTTCATTATTATTATTATGTTTACATAAATGAATTTATTATTTATTTTTAAGTTTTAAACAATTAATCTAAATATAAATATGAAAATACATAATCTAAACTCTTAAAACAAAAGTGCTTATTATGTATATTATTTTATTTAGATAAAACATATTTTATTAGTGTTTATATTAAATTTTTAGACATAACATCAAATAGATTATAAACATTTGTAAATACTTATAATACAATATAAACATATACATTATATATATATTTAAATTACTTTATATTGTTGATAATGAAAATCTCTACAAATTGATACATCAATATATGCAAATATAACAAAATTATTATTTATAATATTATTATTAGAATTTATTTGATTACTATCATAGAGACTATCAATTAACCCTTTTATGAGGTCAATAGTTGCCTTTAACTATGATATATAGTTTATCTAATAATTTTATTTGCAAACTATAATAATAATTAAACTGTATATAATACAGTATATAACTTAATAATAAATATCTAACAGTAAATAAATTTATTATATTTTATGTAACTTTATACTGATTATTAACGTCACTGATGTTAAATCTTATTAATCTGGTTAAAGTAATATATAAAAACTAATTATCCTGATTTATAAAGTATAACAAATAGTAAACTTTTTTTTCCCAATATTATAAATTATAGAGAGAAAAAAATATTATATTAGTATTAATTTGGATCACTAGATAATGATATTTTGATACTAAATGTGATAACAAACCGGTCATCAAAAGCCAGCAAAAGTTGTAGAAAAATTCATAGCATTTTGTCATCTTATAAATATTTATTTGATTTTATGCTAATCTGTTATTTTAATTTATATATTCATTATTAAAAATTTGATATAATTTGCATCATAATTATCACTTGCAATGTGTGAAAGCAAATATTAATTAATAAATTGATGTTATATTGTTATGTATAGATAATAAATATATTGTATTTATTTTTAAACTAAATAATACTGTATATAAATAGTACAGTAGGTTTCTAATGATTTGATAATAAATTCAACAACAAAACATATTTCTATAATATAAAACTTAATTGTATTTATAAGAAAAACGGAACTCTATTGATTGTAAACTTGATTAAAATTAAATAAAGTTTATTTTGATGTCAAAATGTTGGCCACAATTATTTTATGTGAATATTTTATGGATAATAAATATATAAATAAATATATATATATACACTATTGTAGTCTATAGTAGAAAATGATTTAAATATCGAGACTATTGTCGTTTATATGCGACATACATATTGAGGCCAAGGTATTGAAATAAAAACTCATATACGATATTAACAATAAATAATTTACTGTATATTTTTATTTATTATTATGTTTAGTTTATGCATTAAATTAGATATATACGTATATATACACAATATATATATATATATAAATAAAAAGCTATAAATTGAGTGCTCACCTAATTAAATATGCCACATGAATATCCATAGCACTAAAAAAAAGTAAACTTAATTAACAAAATAATTATTATTTGTAATTTGCATCTAAAATATATTCATGATAAATAAACTATTTATATTAAAATAAAGTAAAAAATTTTCATAATATTTATGAAAACTTTGCCAATAAATTGTTGCTATATTATCATTAACTATGGTTTATAAATTAACATCAATATTACATAGAATTATATAAATTAATAATAATATAAGCAATATAAATTTTGATTATTATTTTTGTTGATTAATTTGTTTAATTTATTATAATTTGTTATTTTTTACAATTAATATTTTTATATGTATATTATTAACTACAATGTCTTTAACAATAGCAATAATTTTATGTTATTTTTAATTATTATTATTACTATATTTAATTTTATTGTTATATGTTTTAATAAATAGTTGATACAAAAAATAAATAAAGAATATATTATTATTAAAGTGATTGAATAAAAATGAAAAGCTTTTCCAATAAAATACAAAAGTTTTATCGACTGAAGGACAGGTATAATAGGAAAACAACAATAATATACTGTATTTGTTTAGTCAAGTTATATGAAGAAAGAAAGAGAGAGAGAGAGAGAGAGAGAGAGAGAGAGAGATCCTGTGCTTATAATAATGTAAAAGAGCACTAGTATTACACAAAACTTATTAATAATTTGTTTTAATTTTATCAAAGACTAACCTCCAAACTGCCTCCGGTATAGTCAAGACCCCTTCAATTTGATAAATACATGACAAGGGTTTTAGAAATTTATTTTCCCAAAAAAATATGCCATTAAGTCATTAGAAAGTAATATTAGGCTAAATAACGAGTTTATAGTTTTGCGAAAAGTGTTTTTTGTATTACAAATCGTATGTATGAATGAATAAAAATACTTTCACATGTTATACGTGTTTTTGTGTGGATTTTAGTTTTGTTGGTTGAAATAAAATTATTAATTTTATTGCAAGAAAATGTTATTTATTTATTTTTTAAATAAAATTTGATAAATTGAAACTTCAATTTTATTATATTCAATAATTATTATTATAAAGTACTCACTCACTGCTGGGTATTCAGGAAAAACATTATTTAATATTTTCAGTATTTATTATTAAAAATTTAATTTAATAGAGAAAATTATTAATTATTATTATGTTTATATATATATGAATACATTATTATTAATAATAATAATAAATTAATTTTTAAAGTTAATAGTCTAATCATATTTTTTGTTAATTAATATTATTGTTTTTTAAATTTCAACACGTTTTGTATCTATTTTTAAGTTTTTAAAAATTTTGAATAGTAATAATTATTTTCATACAATCAAAGAGTCATTTGTGTTCATTTGTATAGACTTTTAAATAAATAAATTTAAAAAAACTAAAAATCTAAATGCAATTCAATAGTTTAAATAATAATAATAATAATAACAGCAGGAAATTATTTTTGCAACAATTGTCTAAATACGCGATGCCATCAACCAGTGTGCCATCAAATCAGCCAAATTCCGGTGTTTTTAATACCAGTGCTAATAATACTAATAGTGTCTATAGAGAGGTTAGTGTCGTCTCTCTGCCCACTCTTTTGGCGTTCAATTACCGGACCCGACATCGATTACATACCAACCATGAGATTATACAACGGTATGTTTGCTTTAAAGGCATTGTTATATCACTAATATTACTGTATATATATACTGCATATTAGTATTTATATAATAAATTTTTACTGTTTTTAATAGCCGCCCGTTATAATAAACATTACCTAAATGGCAATTGTTATTATCATATAATACTAAAATTAATCCTAACAATAAAAAAAAACTTTTAGTAGTTTACAAAAGCATTGCTTCAATTAGTAGACTAATAAATAATTGATGATTAGTGCAGTTGTCATAAACAATGCATTTTTAATGTCAATAGTCTAATGTGTATGTGTGTTGCATTGCAAAACACTTTTGAATAGTTTATAAATGTAATTAATATAATGGTATTTCATTTTAATTCATAAACTCTGTTTTTAATGTATAATATAATGCTGTATGTTATCATTGACTTGACTATAAAAAAAATTATGTTGAATGTATAAATCAATAATTTTTTTCATCAGTAATTGTTATACTATTAGTGTATCTGAAACTTAACTTTAACTGTCACTCATGTAATAGATATTATTGGTAAAAGTTAGTACTACTTAATGTCAAGTATATACTGTAACTGTACTTCTAGTGCTAAATTGAGTTGTAATCACTTAAATAATATAATATAAACAATCTGTCAAACTATTGTGTATGTGTGTGTAGTCAAGCGTTTAAAAAATAATTTTCTATACATATTTCAAAATTATTAAATATATAACATAATATTAAATTTTTTCTAAATTAAAAAAAAATCCGAGAGTAATGTACTTTTCTGCAAACAAACATAAAATTGATGTCTAATATCAATCAATAGCATAATTGATAATGAAGTGTTAAATTTAAGCGATGTATAGATTGATTTGTATATTTAAATATATACAGTATAATACAATAACACAAAAAAATTATATTTTTTTAGAGAAAAACAAAAATATAATATTATAATATTATATWTATATATATATATATAAATTCTGTTTAAACTAATATAACAAATAATAAAATTACAAATATTGTTGTTATTATTACTGTATAATAGGATTGTATGCAAAACTGTTGTGTTTTGATAGTTGAGTGTAAAGAGCGGTTCCGCGTTGTTTAACACCACAGACACACCACTGTCTCAAACTCTTCCTATGTGTGCATTTGATTACATTATTTCTCTCTCTCTCTCTCTCTCTCTCTCTCTCTCTCTCTCTCTCTCTCTCTCTCTCTCTCAACAATAATAACTATCGGTTCAAATGTGATCTACCAGTGCCTATGTGTGTGCATTTGCCATATCCATAGTCCCAATGTCAGGCCATTCACCCTTTCCATACATTGGTATAACGGTATAGGTATTAGTGTGTAGAGAATTGTGTGCAGAATTTTATTTTTTTTTCTCTCTGTATATATAGTTATAGTAGAATTTTTAATGGATATTCTGTGTGTGTGTAACATAACTGTGCGATTCATAGATAGTGTTGGCGCAAAAAACATAGCAACGTGTTATTGCTTGCGCTCACAAACTTTTTTGCCGCACATGACATGACATAACATAACAGTGCAAATAGCGGCCAACTGTGCTGTAGTGTTGGTTGTTGTCTGTGTTTATATGATATGATACGAGTGCTGTTGGAAACCAAATATATATATATTCTATTCTCTTTAAACAGTGTTTGTAGAAAACTCTCACATAATTTACTTTTATATATAACAATATTCATAACCGTAAAGTGCTGTTTAAATAGCTGTTTCATTGCCATTAATAATAATAATAATAACTAAACTCCTGGACCTTGCCTACTGTTCCCAACACGACACACGATTGTGTTGTGTGTATGTGTATTAAAAAATATATATGTACTGTACGTATGTGTGTATTGATATTAGATATTGATATTTATTTGGTGTTAAATATTTAATAACCTATTATGTTTTCTCGTCGATTAAAATCATAGATTCAAATAAAAAACTTTACACATTAGTATTTTTATTATTATTATTATTGAATTGAAATTGAGAGAAAAAAAAATAAATACAGTATAATATAATAGTAACCATAAAATAAAATATTTAATAAATCAATATTTTATAAATATATATATATATTTACGTTTGCAATAAATTGTATCAAAAAAACTTATTGATATATAATATACTGTTGCCGTGTGTTTCATATCACATATTATTATTAGTTGATTTACAGTTATATTATTATTATTATTATTGAAACTGTTTGCGCGCTATTTATTTACCTCTAATTTATATATATATATAAACAGTATATGATATAATCACAAAAAGTTAATTTTTAAACTCCAATCTCATCGTATGGTTTACTATGGCACATATGGTAAGCCCTAAATTGTCAACTAGTTTTTTGATTTAAAATGAAACTTCTAGTGAGAGAACCGGGAGGTAGAGTAACGTAACGTTGAGAAAGAGAGAGATAGGAGTTTGAAAAAAGTGTGTTTCAGTGCCAGTTATATACTTTACATCCATAGGAGTTACCGCTCATGTAAAGCGGTTCTCCCAAAAAAACAAATAATAATAATAATAATAACTGTTTATATTATATACTTATATATATATTATATAACTTAGTTGTATATACAGTATATTTATACTTTACTCTATTGCCATCAAAAAATAATTACTCTATGTATTTGCAATGAAATAAAAATATTATTTATATTTAAATTTATTTTGTATTGACTTGAAAGCGACTATACTTGCATGTGAACCGCATAATTGTCTGCAAATGTGTATATATATTATGTTGTTTTGGATTTACCATTTAAATTGTGATGCATTGAAAAGTTAATTAAAAATATATCTATATATTTATATTTGGACTCAAAAGTCGGTACACAAAAAAAACTTTTGGATTATGTTTGGCTATAATGTTGACCATTTGTGTTACGCTGTAATGAATTTAATTTAATATTATTATTATTTTATTTGTTATTAAATATTTGCATTGTCTTATACTGTATAAGATATACAGTATTGTATTATATATATATTTTGTATTATATAAATATTTTGTATTATATAAATAATATATTTTAAATATATATATATATATATATATATATTGTTATTTTTATCTCTAGTTGCTATTTAATTATTTGTTTATTTTCTATTTTAATATATATCACTTTACAAATATAATTTAATTTTTTCCTCTATTTCTACAATTAGTCTAAATGTAGATTTATATAAATAAGTTGAGTTATACTACTACTACTACTAATAATAATAATAATAATAATAATAATAATAATAATAATAAAAAGTTTAACATTGAATATCATTTAGTAAACTTTGATATATAAATTATCGTATATAACCTATGATACCTGTATATGACTATAATATGTTTTTATAGATTACTAACAACCAGTATATTTTTGATAATACTGTAATAATAATAATAATAATATAAAATATTGCAACTAATTATAGTATTTAAAAAGCAATTAAATATTGATTTACATAAATCATAATTTTTTTTGTTATACTTTTATTTCTCATATCTCTGTATATAATAATAATAATAATAAAAATGATTAGTAAATCGCGAGAGACGATGGACGGGTCAGTCGAGTTCATGGAGACTCTGCCGCCCACTAATGATGGCGTTAGACTACCACAAGTTCATTATGTCAACTCCGATCACTTGGGATCAGCTTTTGCAGCCATGAACTCAATGAGACAAAACAATCAGTTGTGTGACATCAGTCTGGAAGTGCTCGACAACAGTACTGCCAGGTCTTTGACACCAAACGGCTCTGTCGTTCAGTCGATGACCAGTTCGGCACCAACGGTACCGTCTGTACCGCCGGTCAGTATACGCCAGATTCGGGCCCACAAAGTGGTGTTAGCGGCTGCCAGTGCTTACTTCAATGCTATGTTTAACAGTAAGTTATTTTTTTGTTTGTCAAACAAATTCAAAAATACTCTTTAAACAAAAAAAAAAAAAAATAGGGATCACAAAAGTTTAGCTAAATTTAAGTTTTTTTAATCTGATAAGTGAATGAAACAGTTTTTTTGTTGTTGAAATATTTAATAGACAATCTTTATCTATCATATTATCACTAAATTTTATTTTAAAAAAATATTTGACTAAAAATTTTAATGCTTTCATGCGCTAAATGAGCTGAAAAATTGACATTTTTGTTTTGTTGTTATTTAGTTTATTTTTAATAAATTAATTGTTTGATAATTGAACCCAAAAAAAATTCATCCGAAATTCAATCAGGGATTTCAGCTATTAGTTGGCAACTAATTATAAAAATTATTACTAAGATTAGTAGTAATAAGTTGTTAATAATTAGCTTTTTTTAAGGAAAATTAAAATTAGTAGCAAATTGTTTGATACATTTTTTTTGGTTTTATTTCTGTGTTAAGTTTATAGCAACAAAAAAAATATATTTATAAAACTATTTTTAGTTTAGAGAAAAAAAAACTAATTTTCAAACTTAATGCACAAATGAGTCTGTTGTCCCCTCTTTTGTAATTTATTTATTTATTTTTGCGCTAAAATAATAATTAGTTTGTATAATAATATAATTGAGTAAATAGAGTATTAATAAGATACCAGAGAGAAATAATATTTGTATTAAACTATTAAATATTATTATTATTATCTAAAAGTTGAGTACAAATATGGTTAATAAGTTTCGGGTTAATTAAAAAAAAGTGTTAACAACTTTACTGACTCTTATATTTGTTGTTATTGTATATATATTTTAATTTATTTTTATGATATCTTGTAAATAATATTGTATTAAAAAAAAGAAGTACACAATGAAATAATAGTCTAGTTTTTTGTATATAATATAAATGACTTCTATGTTATAATATTTAATAATAATAATAAAAAAAAAGTTTGCCATTCATTAGTATTTAGAATAGCTGTCAAAGCAAAACACAAAACACTTATTCATAAAATTATTATTTCAATATTAAAATAAATAAATTTTTTTTATATTTAAAAAACTTTTTTTGTTTTTTATTTGTTATTATATTATCCGTTGAAATATCCGGCATTTCAGCTGAAATGGCAGAGCGTAACAAAACTGTGATAACACTTCATGATCTAGACATGACTGCCCTCAACCTTCTAGTCGATTACGCCTATACGGGACAGATATGTATTACCGAAGAAAACGTACAGTCACTGTTGCCGGCGGCCAGTCTGCTACAGGTGTCATCAGTACGGGAGGCGTGTTGCAAGTTTTTGTTGCGACAATTGCATCCATCCAACTGTCTGGGCATCAGGAGCTTTGCCGACGCCCACTCTTGCGAAGAATTGCAGTCAACGTCACACAAGTATGCGCTCGAAAACTTCCAAGAAGTGGCTCAAACCGAAGAGTTTTTGTTGTTGCCGTTCAACGAAGTCGAGAATCTGATTGCCAGCAATCAGCTGAACATTTGCAACGAAGAGATTGTCTACGGGGCGGCCATGGCGTGGGTTAAACACGATATGAAGGAACGGGAACAGCATTTGGGTAGTCTATTATATCACGTAAGACTACCGCTGATGGAACGCACATTCCTGTTGGAAGAAGTCAGTAAAGAGCCGCTCATTAAGTCTAATCAAACCGGAAAAGATCTGTTGATTGAAGCCATGATCTATCACTTAAGTCCTGAGCACAGGCGGGCCATGTCATCGGTGCGAACACAACAGCGCACACCTGACGGTCTCAGGCCATACATCTTTTCCATTGGCGGCGGATCTTTGTTTGCCATTCATAATGAATGCGAGTATTATAATCCACGATTAGACCACTGGGGCTCTCTGGCACCGACATCCCAAAGGAGATCCAGAGCAGGTGTTGTTGCACTTAACAGATTAGTGTTTGCTGTCGGCGGATATAATGGTACAAAAGATTTGTCTTCAGCTGAATTCTATGATCCACTTTTCAATAAATGGACAAACATTAAGCACATGGGAACTAAACGAAGCTGTTTAGGAGTTGCAGCACTTAATGGGCTCATCTATGTTGCCGGAGGTTACGATGGTATGTCCTATAGATTAATGTATTTTTTCTATATATAACATATTATTTAATAATATATATTATATTTAATGACATAAATAATTGTCTTAATAACATATCTTTATTTTTACCTAACAATCCCAAATCCACAGGTGCTTCGTGTCTGAATAGTGTTGAACGTTATGACCCATTGGTTGCCGAATGGTCTTCAGTTCAGGCAATGGAAACCAGAAGAAGATATTGTCGTCTTTCAGTACTCGATGGCTGTCTATATGCAGGTAAATCATAAAATATTTTTTTATATATGAAAAAAACATTTATATAAAACTATTTGTTGTTTTATTAGTCGGTGGTTATGATGGCTCTAATTATCAATCATCTGTTGAACGATTTGATCCTCGAGTATGACATCTAATATCTTATGACTTATAATAAAAAAGAAGATTAAGATTTAATAATAATTAATGTTTGTTTTTTTGTGGTGTCACAGGAGGGCAAATGGCAAACCATACCAGCGATGATCAATCGTCGGAGCAGTTGTGGTGTCGCAGCTCTCGACAGAATGCTGTACGTCGTGGGCGGTAATGACGGCTCTCTTTGTATGTGTAGTGCTGAGCGCTTTGATCCGGTCAGGAATGCCTGGGAATCGGTGCCATCGATGCACTCCAGAAGGTATTCATTTTTTTTATATATAATTGTCAGTTTTTTCTTCATATGTGATTAATCGTGTGATTTATGAAAATAGGAGTACCCATGAAGTGGTCGAAGCACAGGGTCTTCTATACGCCATAGGAGGCAACGATGGCAGCAGTAGTTTGAATACTGTCGAAACCTACGATCCATTGACCAGCAAATGGACATTAGTGTCGTCAATGATGCTCAGGAGGAGTAGTGTCGGTGCAACTGTTCTCGAGTGTCCCGTTCTCGAGGATATATTTACCACAAAAACGCATGAAATCACTGCCAGTAATAATACATCGCTAAGCAATTCAACAATTTCTACTTCAACTGAATCTTAATGAAAAAAATAAATAATTTTTCACATAATTTATAAACAAATATTTGCTAACTTTTTTCAACAAAAAAAATAATTTATAATTTTGTATTTTATAAAATCAACGCCTATCTCAATTTTATTTTATTTTTTAATTATATAGATTATCAAAATCATTAATTTATACATTAGTTTACTACTTATATAAAAAACATTAATTTATATTAAATATATTATAATTATGTATATTTTATTGTAATATTGTTTTGGCTACTATTTGCTAATGTATTAAATTTAATGAATCTACAGATTACACACTTATGGGCATTAATTTTAGTAAATGTTTGTTAAATTATTTCCAAAAAATTGTAATCTTAGATTAATTAAATCAGTTTTTATAGTATTAAATGTAATAAACTAAAAAGCTAATTTATGTTTTAAAATTACGAGTACGATTTATTTACGATACTTAACTAACATATTTCACCAAGCTAAGTTTTTAGATCTATAATATTTTTAAAAATAATTATTAAAATATAAAAAAAAGCTTGTAACTTATATTATCTATGTATGTACTGTATGTATAAAAGTATGTAATAATTTATTATTTTTTTAATGTTATGATTTGGGAGTGTGTATTGCGTGTTGAATATACTTTATATAATATATATATATATATATATATATATATATATATATATATATATATATATATATATATATATATTGGTAGATAAAAATATTGAAAAATTAAATTAATAAGATAAATTATTAAATATATTTTATACAATACACTGTACATAGTATTATACTTGTATAGACTATAATTCAATATTTAGCCAAAATTTTCCAATACATTTCAATTGGTTTTTATGGGAGAAAATAAATTTCTTAATTTCTTAATATGATTGGTGTGTCAACATTGACGAAAATTTAAAAAAAAATTATTTTTATTGTTGCCAATAATTGTTTGAAAAAATGTCAAATTGAATAAGAAAAAACCAAATCTAAATACTAAATAATCTTTGAATTTCATATACAGTTAATAATAAATGACAATAAATTGAACATTTGTGAGAAAATTTTTTCATAAAAAAACATTGACTGAGAAAAATTAATAATTGAAAATTAAATTAATCATCACTTTTGCCAACACTGCATAACCATCTGGTTTTGCCATTAGTTTTAATTTATGATTAAATGAATAAAACAATAAATTTTCACACATACAGGTACAGTAAAATATATACAGTATATATATATATAATTTATATATAGTACTGTATTTGCTATTAATGGCTATAAATAGCCAAAAAAATATCTTTAAAAAAAAGATTTTTATTTGTAGTCACACCTAATGTGTTAATGACTTATTCAAATGTCGTCAACTTTCAGATTATCTTAAAATATAATCATTTGAATATTTTAATACCAATAGTGAAAATTAAATAAAGAATAAATCACTTTTTATATACAGTATAACGCAATAAATATAAATAATATAAGATAAAAAATCATTTTATTTTTAGTTTTTACAATAAAAAAATCGCAATCAATCAATATTCAATTAATTTTTAAACTATCTAAATAATTATTATTTCATAATATAATGTTACCTATAAATCGATATTAATATAATAATAGTCTAATGATTTTATTTAAGCCACAAAAAATAGTTTGAATAAAATGCACGATTTTTTTTGGAAACAAAATCATTTTTATATAATAATAATAATGTTGTTGTTAATCAAATATCAAACTATTAATTTTTAATAAAATTTATATTTGTTTACTAAAACTATCAGATGATTATCTACGGGTTGAAAGCCGTGACAATTAATGTTTTCCCTTTTGAATGGTATCCTTAGTTATGTCAAAGTCTTTGTCGGCAATGTTCAACATTAGTGAACTGGAGTTCAGGTAAACACGATTCTGGGACTGAGCAATCTGTTTGACGCAAAACAAATACAGGTATATAAAACACACATAATTGTTAATTTTTAGTATTACCGGTAATTAAAATATTAATTATATATATATATATATGTATATATGAATTACCGTTTTTGAAATTTGTTGGGCGGCCCTAATCTTCCTGAGCTTCAAGTAACCTGGATTTCTGGATATAGATTCACCCAAGTAATCAAATTCAATAATAAATTAAAGTTAAGGAAAATTTCAATAGACAAACAAAATTTAAATAAACAATTATTGTCTAAATAGATAACACATTGCCATCAGATTACTAAAGAATTGGATAATCATTTTCAGATTTTTTTGGTTAAAAGGGATTAAGAGTTTGTTGGCTTTCATTAATTATGTGATTAGAGTAATACTAAATCTAATACACAATTATAGTTAATGATAGCCCAGAGTGTATACTATAGTCCAGCCCTTACAGTATTGATCGATAGTCTCAAAGTGAACGCTCGGCTAACGGTATTTTACCCAAACATTCGTTCAATACTAAGATTACCGGACGGTATGTAAATCAGTGGTCAAACGCCGATCAAATCAATTTAATGATGAGAACAGACATTTGTCACCCAAAAAATATTCATCGTTTGGCAATTCATTCATTCATTCAAGAGTTGACAATAAATTTAACCGAAAAGGATATCATTTTGGCTGCTTCTGCCTCTCCCTCTGCCTGTACTATCTTCTGCTGTCTCTCTTGTTTAGCCTGTTCTACGGTAAAGGCGGCTCTCTGTGCCTCCTGTTGTGCCACTTGTTTGGCCTCAACGGCAGCCGAATATTCTTTACTAAAACTCAATTCCGTGAGCGAGACGTCATCCAAAATCAGATGAAAATCATGGGCTCTATCGATCAGCTCTTTGCGAACCATAAGCGAAACCTGTTGTCGCTGTGTTATCAGCTGCGAGGCGTTAAACTTTGCGACCACACTCTTGAGTACTTCATTGCAAATGGAGGGCAACACTCGTTCGTCGTAATCGGTTCCCAAAACACGATAGATATGCGGCAACTGTGACGCGTCCGGTCGGGCCAACACACGAAGCGTTATGTTAACCATTTGAAGATCTTTGCTACCGGTCGGCGACGATATCTTTCGCGGTCGCGAACGGATATCGTAGACAATTGGCCATTGAAACCACGGAATACTGTCCGTCAAAGAAAAACCAATAAAATCTTATTTAAAAATCACTTTTCAATGCAAATGACAAAAAAACAGTATTGCGTCAGAAAATGTTTGATTACCGAAAATGCAATCCTTCGGAGTATATTTCGCTCTGAATGCCACCGATTCGGCTAAAGATGATGGCTCTGTGACCGCCATCGACTGTATCAGCAAATTATATAACAACAAGAAGTGGTCAATCAATTAGATAAGTGCTGTAATGATAATTGAATACAAACCGGTATAAACTGATTGTGTGGCCGCATAACCGAGTCCTCCGGCGGCCACCAGAAGTTTAATACCGAGACCGACACCCGACGGACCTTTTCCGAAGCGACCCAAGAGATCACCCAATTTGTTGGCCATTTGTTTCGCTAATTGTCGGACAGTTTTTTTTGAGACCAAAAAAATAACAATTGATATATCAATGCATAGATAGACTCCACACTACTGCACTTAACGCCAAACAAAAATACGTCACACAATTGGACACATGTTTTTCCATAGAATTTACATTAAAAGGGAGCAAAACTATTGAGACGTAATTTATGGAAATAAATTCTCAATTGAAACCCATGTGTTTTAAGTACTTTTACTGTACAGTAGTTTTGGTTTATATTTGCAGTGAATATGATATGAAATAAACAAAACATAATTATGTTTTCAAAAGTGATTCAAATATTAATAATAATTAATTGTTTAAACAGTTTATGTGTTTTGTTTTGAATGACATTAATATATGATAATTAAGACAATGTTTTGCTGGAAATCATTACAACTGTTATCATCCAAATGTCATTCATTTGGTCTTATATTAAGACCATCGATGTGTCCATTAATGCGGACGACGACGACGGCTGTCATCGATGATCGTCGACGACGTCTTCTTCACACGACTTCAATCACTTGTCATTTGATGGAGTTTTTCGACGACTCGAAGAATTTTGGAGAAACTGAAGTCAAATCAGGTCTTCATTTATTTTTTTAGCTGATATATGTCGAGGCTATCGGAAAAGTACTTAAATTATTTGTTTGTTTTTTTGGTGACCAAATCAGGTCGCGAGTGGCGTAAAGACGAATTGAGGATCAAAAGTAACACCGATTTGCATAAGTTATGGTTTGTTTTATACAAAGAGAGAAATATGCTGAAGACTATGGAAGAGGCGGCTATTGATGAATACGAACCGATGCCGAGTCCCGAACGTATCGACAAAGTGGAGCAAAGTATGAAAAACTTGGAAGAAGTGGTCAGAGAACGTAACAAAGCCTATTGGGAACTGCAAGTCGGCGAAGGAACTACTGGTGAGCGGCCAAGAGTTTTCCGCAAAGATATATTCGGCCGATTGAGATGGTATGACACGGATATCATTAGACATCTCTTAATGAAATGTTTTGTCTTTTCCTAATAACAGGATTGGTTGCTCTGAACATCTCATGCCATATAAGTTTAATACCAAATGGCGATCACTGAACGCACCCGGATTTGGTAAGGATGTCATAGACTTTACTCGAAGATTACGTGAAAAGCAAATGTTACAGAGAAAGGGACAAATTTGGGGAACAACTCTTTATGTGAGAAATTTGTTGAGAAGATTTCCCGATATAGACATCGACTATCTTCAGGAACTGTATCCCGATGTTAACATAAAGAAAGAGAGGGAACATTTGGATGAAAATATCGGCAAAATTAGGAATTATAGGTTTCATTCGGCTCTCTATAAATCAAAACAAAATAAGCCTTTAGATCATTAATTTTGTAGTTTATATATAAAATTATTATATAATCAGTTAATTCATTAAATTTGTTTAGCATTAATAATGGCTTTATTGATCATTTATACAGTATATATATATGTATTTATATATATATTGTATTATTTTTTTTTAAATAGAAAAAGTTACATTTAAAACGAAATTAAAAATTGATTATACAGTCATTCAAAATAAGTGTTAATTAAATCATATTTAATATTATTTAACAGTAAATACGATTTTTAAATATATATTTAATAAATTATAATAATTAATAATTAAATATAATTATTAATTATAAATATAATGTATAAAGCAATACTTGATATTATAAACCGATTTTCATAGTAATTTTGATGTCATTATCTTATTATTTTGTTTTCAATTTTTAAATTTTCATTTCAAGTTTTTTTGTTGTTTCAAATTGTTTTCGTTTTATTTGAAGAATTCGTTTGAAACTAAAGTCTATTTTGAAATGAGAGCGCAATTAATATATAAATTATTACTCGTATTATGAAAAACTAAACTAAATATATAATAATTTGTTATTAATAATAATATTAATATAAATAATTAGATTTTATCTACGAGCCATGCACCGCACTGGCCATTTTTAGGTAACAGTGCTTTCGTGTGCTTAATGATAGTCTCGAGGGCCACCCGATGTGTGGCACCACCCGAATCGGACATAACAATGGCATTGTTTAGCTGTTGACAGACGCCCTCGCGTTCGCTGGGATTCAAGTGCCAGCCGACGGGTGAACTCCACGGATCACTATAAGCTAGAAGACTGAAAGTGTCCTGAAGTAGTTGTCTGTTGAATTCATTTGTGCCAAACTGTCTCTTCAGCTGTTGGGACAATGCGTTCAATTCTTTGCCGAACGCCAGTAGTCGAGTAAATTTGGCTTCAGTTTCTTCACTGACACTTTGCTCTTCAGAGTACGTGTTGTTCGTATCATTTGTATTGTTGTCGTTGACGTCGACTTCCATCTGTTCACTTGAGTTGCCATTGCAATCATTTACACCATTAGTCGAATTATTCGGTGAATAGGATGCGGTCATTGCGGCGGCCGCACCAATGGGCGCTTTATCCGATTCATTACCACTAATCCATTCAACAAATTGTCGACACTTTAATGCAAACAAAAGATTCGGATTGTCTTTTAGCACATTTGGATATAATTTATTTGTAAGACTAATGGCTTCGCCAATGTGTCCGTTAAGAACTAATTGTTGAATTTTGAGTCTTTGTTTGATGTGTTGAACATTCTCTTTAAAGTCTAGTTTTGTTGTTTTGCTGAACACTTCGGCAGTCGAACAATAGCCGTTGTGGATGAGCCACGACTGAACCAAACGATGTATCGTTGTCTGCCATTCGGTATACTTAACGGGAAATTCGACAATAGATTCGGTTAAATGTTTTTTCAATGCAATTATATCTTCTTCGATGTCGTAACAGAAGGGTTGCATTCCGAAGTTGGCTTCGACTTCCTCTCCGGGTGTCTGAAGACCAACAGTGGGATAGAGGGGAACGTTTGGCAAATCGGAAAACGCAACGCCAAGATTGAGACCGTTTTTCGTATAAAAACAGTTTCCTAAAATCAAATTATATCCGCAACCGATTATGTCTCCGGTAGTAAACGTTGGGCCGTACGGCTGTCCAGTACCACTGCTGTTAAATGAGTGACCATCGTCTCCATGATATCCATACGATTGTTTATCCCAACCGGGTAGTCGTTGCATATTAACTCCTTGTGCGGCCAAACCAATGCCCATATAGCCATCCCTTCCTTTGCTGATAATCTTGATCTCATAGTAATAGAGAAGACAACCGCTAGGAATGGAATGAGTGGCCCGAACGGCGGCCGCATCCTTATGACCCTTTCCGACGCCTTTGTAGTGTACTTTGAGGTTATTCTCTGAAAGAGTGATAAAGTTTGCTTTGTCTTTGGCTGACCACGACTTGGGCAGCTCTGACTCATCCACGTATGGATAGAGTTGTTGGAGTCGTGATAGACCTTCGCTGACATTTAATGGCGTCGACGAAGTGGCAGGAATTGGTGACATACTATTTGATCGTGTGTTGGGATCATATGACCGATTGCTATCACCTGATTGATCCATTTGGCCGCCTATTGGCGACTGCGATGACGATGATGTCATTGCTGGTCCTTTGCTGTCCTCAACACAACAACTTACTGGTCACTACTTGTCCGACGGTAGCAATCAAATGAAAAATAAAAACAAACACTTGAAGTGATATATCGGATCCTATGGGGAAAAAAATCATAAAATCATAACAGGAAATGAAAGTCAATGTTAATAATGTTATCAATTATATAATATAAATGTAATTATTATATGTTATTATTTGTGACTATAATTAACAATCATTTCATAACATTTTTGAGTAAACATTACGTCAAAAGTCAAAATACAAACCAATCAATAATACGATTGAGTATTCAAGTGATTGTCCTAACAATTGATTCAATAATTATTTATACATTTAATAATAATATTATTTTTATTACAATTATTATTAATTAATTAATTAATTAATTTTTTTTAACTAAAATATTATAAACGCATTAATCATAAATCAGTGATTAATGTTTTGAATAATACATGAAAAACGCCACAAAAATATTATTATAATTATAATAATAATACTAATAATAAAAACTAATTAAACCCTAAATTTGTTGACACAATTTGGTTATCAAAAAATTTATTTTTAATGATTTATGATTACTGTTATTATTATTATTATTATTACAATATTATTAAAATTTTGATATCGATTTTATCATTATTTTTTTGAGACAATGATTATTATCATATCATATATTCATATATTACTTAAGTGAACACAATTTGTTTGTTTAAGTTTTTATTATTATTATTATTAATATTATTATTATTTTATTTATTTTTCATTATAATGAACACACAATATATAGTTAAAAAACATATAGCAATCAAATGACTGTATGTTTTGATTGCTTTTTTGTGAATAGCAATTGACAACAATTATAATATACAGTATATGAACACCAATAGTATGACAACAAAAATATTTATTTATTTAACTTTTAAAAAAAACGAAACAAAAATATATAATACATATAATATATATTTATATTTAATTGACTTATAATTTATTGAGTCATAAGTTGTGTTTTGTTATTGTTTTGTCTATTAATAAAAACTCATCACTCGTTTTGTTCAATGCATTGGACAGTCAGTCAGTCTCTCTCTCTCTCTCTCTCTCTCTCTCTCTCTCTCTCTCTCTCTCTCTCTMWCACTCACTCACTAACTCTATCTCTATCTCTCTCACTGTACTCTCCAATCACTATCTCTCTCTCTCTCTCTCTCTCTCTCTCTCTCTCTCTCTCTTACACTCTGTTAGTGTTTTAAATGTGTACTAAAATACAGTATTAATACTACAATAATAATAATAATATTATATTCAACACATTGAATGTCCACAAAAACGTATTGAAATATTACAGTACTGTATATTCATTGACTCCACTATTCATAGATAGTATTACTAATAATAATAATAATAATAAAAATCTCTGACACAACAGTAAATATAGGAAACTATAAATTTTTTAAAAACTTTTTTTTTTGTTTTTTTTATAAAAAAATCTTTTTTTTCATACAATATATGTAATATTATTACATTATTATAATTATCTTTTTAAAAAAAAAAATATTATCAGTATTTTACACACATTAGTATTTAGTAATTACTATATTATAGTAATTATCGATTTCCTCTGTAAACTAACAAAAATTTCATTATTCATATGTTGTTTGTTAAAACTATTAATTTTTGTTAGCCTTTGTTTTGTTGTTGTTTTTTATTTTATTTTTAAAAATACTTTTTTTCAAATACACATATTTTTCATTTCATATTTCACTTCAGAAATTTTTATTTTGCATAATTTTATCATTGACTTGAAGTCATACAACATTTTTTTTGTCACTATTCTCTTGTTTGTTGTACTGAAATGTAAGTTTATTTTAAATAAAAAAAAAGTTTTTTTTCATTAAATGGTTGGTTAATATTGTAATGGCAAACAATGTCATATATTAGAGTTAGTATATGTATAATGTAAATGAATATAAATTAAAAAGTTGTCATGGTCATTCACTTGTTATAAGTTATAATTTGCAATTTACTATTTTTTTTTTGTTTATTTTTTTTGAAATTTTTTTTATGTGATATAATATTTTTAAAAAATATAATTTACACGCAATTTTACAATACAATTTACACGTTTGACCTATTATTTAAATTATAAGCTATATAATAGTAACCAACAAACTAAAAGTTTGTAAAACAACTTTTGACAAATACATTAATAATATACTGTACTAATAATATAATATCTGTATTTAGCCTAATTAAGCGCTTATATATTGGAGGTAAAAAAATTATAAGTTTCATCCATATCCTTGATTATTAACCCACTCATAAATTTTTGCAATTTGAATAATTTATCGCTTAGAAATGTTTTTAAAAAATTGTTTTTTTCTAATGTTATTAACTAATAATTAAAAGTATTATAGATTTTAATAGTATAGTATAAAATTTTCAATAACTAATAATCTTTTCAATAAAATATTGTTGACATAAATTAGGTATTTTTTATGATACGACAGATTAAATTATTTATAAATAACAACAAAAAATTTCCTATAAATTGTGATAGGTCAATCTAGATTTATAAATAATAACAATATTATTAATGCTAATAATTTCTAACCTTGAAACTATAGATAAAACTATTTTTTCCGATAGTCTCTTAAAATATCTATTTATTTTTAAATCAATATATTTTTTTTAATATCATATAATATTTAGTTTTTCGATGACTTTATTTGGTTGGCATTAATACATAATGACAATACTGTATCGTATTATATGGTTATTAAAAATAGCAAATAAGTTATTCTCTCAGCATTGGGTATACAATAACTACATATACCTGTCCTCTACAAAGTTATCAGTTGTGTTTGAATTGAGAGAGAAAGAGACAAATAATTTTAACACATATTGTTTTAGAGGGGAAAGGGATTCACACAACAAATACTGTATTATAAAATCAATGCAAACAACTGTTGTTTGTGAATAAAGTTATTTATTATTTTTTGATAAAAAAAATATTATATAATTTAATTGCCTATAAATTACGTCCAAACATATTGATGACCCCTTTTTTTATTTTGGTAAACACATTGTATACATTGAAATATCATAATACTATTTGCTGGACGTATTCAGTGTGTATTAATATTAGTGATATTACAGTGTGTGTGTGATTACTGTATATAAAAAAGTGTAGTAATAATAATAAATATCATATAATAATAATAAACACATAATTTTAAATGGCATTTGAAATAACACACAATCAATGTGTTTGTTATTTAATTGTATTCAATGAATGCAAACAAATAGTTGTAATATTTTAATAAAACACATTAATTATAATTAATTTGGTGACAAAACATTACTTTGTGACTATTGTTTATTTATTTTTTTTTAAAATAATTATCAAATAGTCAGTGATATTTGCAAACATTATTATTATTGCTAACCGATTGTATGGTAAACATAAAAACAAATGTCGTTTAGTTTGTTATTATTTGGACAACAATTGTTGAGACAAATAATGGTTTGATAGGAAGTCAACGATTTTATCATTTATTATTGGTTTGTATTTTTTGACTTACGTTTAGTTAATTTGATTTTTAAATTAAATATAATTAGTAAAACAACTTATTATATGATTTTATTTTTGTTAGTACAACACGTGTTTGTGTCTAAGCGTTTGATCATAAAATCAATCAAATGGTCGCATCGTTTGCCAACAGATCCCAAACACTGGTTTATATAAGCAGTTGTTGTTCGACTACAAGAAGTAGCGAATCGATCGGTCGTCGAGTTAATCGCCAGTAGTGTATCGTCGTCTGTGTATTTAATGAGACAATTGTTGGCCACCGAATCTGTTGGTCACAATTGTCTGACAAAAGTAATGGGAATGTCTCACGAAATTAATGGCAATAATTGTTTTTTGACGGCTAATTCGCTACAAATATCATCGATGGCCAACTGTGGCGGCAGTGATACTCTTGTGCTGAACACAAACTCTGTTCAAAATATGTCACAATTAATGACTGGAATTGAATTGAATTCTTTCAATACAACATTTAATACATTAGATCTAAACAATTCAGTTATTATCAATACCAACGACTTGTCTAATGAAACGTCTGGCCAACAGATACTACTGGTCTCATCACCGGTTGAAGTGATGACTGTACCTCAACAGACACTCATTGCAAAGCCATCCCTACAGCCGAGCGTTCAAATGGTTTTACAGCCAACGAACTTACCTCTGGTGACGAGCGGACAACAACTCAATGTAATACAAGTGCCAACCAATCTATTGCTGACAGACAATAATGTAATAGTTATACCACAAGATGGCTTGACATTGGAAGTGCCAACAGTTGATGCTAATGTCTCTCAGCAGACATTAGTTGATAACCAAATGGTTTTTGAAAGCGATAGTCAAACACTTGTATATAACGGTTCGCAGCAATTATTTAGTTGCTATAATAATCAAAATGTCGATCACTTAGTGGTTAATCTAAACGATTGTATTGCCATTAATACCATCAACGACAAGGTTATTAGCCAGAGTCCCGATGGAACTCAATTTTTTCAGAACAATCAGATTATCGGCATTATTGATGGCAATACAGTTGAGACCAAAGTGGATATGAATGATGATTTGAATACATTTTTGGCAACAGCTATGACATCTATTGAACCTCAAGAGGCTGCCGATTCAAATGAAGCCAAGAGTTGGCTAAATGATAGTCTAATTGCCTATCGAGCTATGGCTGCGTTCAAGAAAGCGATGCCCAACGACACTCCCAGTCCGACCAGTGGTATTCAAATGCCTGTCCAAAAGCATCACTTCAGTGAATAAGTGATTCTGTGTGACATCAACTTCAATGTAAATGCCGGTCGTCGATATCTATGACAATAACTAACCAAATTAGAAATTGAAGATATTTTTTAATAATAATAATAATGTGACCCTTATTTACTGTGATAAATGATTAACTGTATTAAAGTCAATGTCACTAAAGTAGGTAATTGTTTGCTTGATTTTTAACTAACAAATGATATCATTATTTTTATGACAAAAAATGATAATTAAAGCCTTATGATATAAAGTTTTTAATTGACATCGAGAGTAATTGTCGTACCAATTAGTTTGATATAGTAAATCAATTAAGATATTCAAATATAAATAAATATATATATATAGTAATAACACACTAATATGATTATCAAAACTAATATTTAGTTGATATCACCTGCAAAAACAATATATAGCAAATTGAAATCATTAATTAATTAATATATTTTGCAATTAGTATCTCAAACTCAACCAAATCAATCACATATAATATCATATATACAGTATATTACTGTATCTCTAATTATATATTATATATATATCTATAATTATATAATGAGATATTTTATTATTTTTAGTTTGTAATGCCATTCAATTTTAGATCATTTTTATACATAAATGTCTACACAAATGAATGAAATGAAAATTACTATTCAATTGCAGTCTTCAATTGATCCCAAAGTAAATTTTTAAAAGCGATGATTAATTGTTATTATTTAGAGTCATCTCTAATATATATATATTATAAACATAATATTAAACGAATATTTTCAATCTTTATAAATCTTATATATATTTTATTGAACAAAACATATATACCATAAATACATTTTAATTATCTTACATTTGAAAATTTTAATGCAATTTTCAACAACACAAATCTTATGCCATTATAAAAAAACTAAGATTGTATCATAAAATTTAATGTTAAGTTTGAGATAAATATAAGTGAATTTCAAAAAAATTAAATTAAATGTGTATTTTTTTGTCAAATAAATAAATACGAAAAAATGGATACTTTTGTCTTTGGGTTAAATTATTTATTTGTAGATATAATTAACAAAACTTTTTTAGTGTTACAGCAAAATGAAAATATAATATAAAATATTACTAATAATAATGATATTATTAAATGTTAATAACTCGGCTGAGCTTTTGGATGCGATTCAATAGTATATCTCCCTGTTTGATACACGCCTGGTATTGATAGTTCTTGTTGTCGGGTCGATTGGTTTCGACAATACCATTAACTTTGTCTATTTTACAGTGCAAACGTCCGGCCGCTATAAAACGGGCTAACTCTTGGTCAACATAGTCAACGGTAACGCCGAATGCGTTGGCCATGTATTGCAATTCGAGACTACGATACGATTCGAGCAGTTGATTGTAGGCCAGGATTCGCATCTCACGAATATAGTAGCGATAGTGCGGTGCAAACAAGCGATCGGTTTTCATATAGTTTTCCACCCACGACAGCTTACAGAAGAACTTGGCGTATTGGCATTCATACAGTGAGAACAGATAGTCGTGAACATCGGTATTGGTGTGCAATACCTCAAGAATCTCAGAGCCGCGAATCACTTTCTTTCTGAGTTCAACTCTCGGTAGAGCAACCATTGAACATAAAACAGTATACGAAACAAATGTACGGTAATCTGTCAGTTCATAGCAGGTAAACGTCGATATTGTGTCCAAAAAGAAATTGGCCGCCGAAGCAAAGTCTCGAATGGCCAACGCATAGAAGCCCTGATAGACTCGAAGCCGATTTCTTCGATCCCAATCTCCGCCCTCTTCTATTAATGACTTACCCTTTTCAATGTTACGGGCAATTAGATTGTGATCCAAATAGAAGAGTCCGATTCGGATCATATGAAAGACCAGATCGAGCCGATGACCCAACGATACAGTCTTATCATAAGTCTTGCGCAGTGCTGTCAGTGCCGACTCTTTGTCGCCGATAATACTATAGTACTCGGCTTTTGCCAGATTTGCTTCTCTCACTTCCATTTCTCCGGCATTTTTTTCAGCGTCTTCTATGGCGTCATCCAATTCTTTCAGTTTCTTCTCATTGTTGGCCGTCATCTGAGCCAATAGTTCGGCATTGAGCGGCCATTTTAGATCATCGCATACCTGAATAAGTTGGTCACAATCGAAACGAAACATTAGTTTCAACAACAAAAAATTGATACCAAAAGTTGACTCACTTGTTGGTAAAATATTGCCATATCTTTGTCCTCTATAGCCCGTAACAGATCGGCCCGAATGCGGACATTATCCTTGTGTTGGTCAGTGGTCAACATAAACTTCCATTGGGCTAACTCGAGGTTCGGGTTTTTGGCCAAACTTTCTTCTTCAAAATTTTCGGCCGGCATTGTTGTCTTGAATAGTGTTTGTGTCAATAGTTAGCAAATTAAACCAACACAAAAAACTGGTCACTCAATCGGCAATGAAATCCCCGAAGTGGTGGTCAAAATACACACAAAATTTTGTTTAAATAACTTTTTTTTAATTTGATTTAAAAAACTTTGATTTAATCTAACAATCAATGGCTTTGTGTGTTCACTGACTGACTGACTGTGAGTCAGCTATAAATTTGTTGACCAAATATCTCAATAATAACGTTACGAACAGTGAGTGTGTATTATATAACTGTAAGTGATATACAAAACATAATAAATGTTACGTTTGTTTTGAATGGTTTGAGTACTAACAACACATAAACAACGTTTGTGTTTGAATTGAATGATAATAAATGACAACAAATGCAAACCAATTGATAATATTTAATAACAAATAGTGTTTTGTTTTGTTGTTATGTTTTTGTTTGTTTGGAGGCATTGATCACACATTTTCATTGAATGGACGGGTAGTTCATAATATTGGGTCATAGGTTTAGGTGCAGTTAGACAATACATACACACATTAGACAACATATATACAAAAATGACCACAAAGTCACCTATAGTTTGGTCCAATTAATTCAATTATAATTAAAGCAAATATTAAAAAATCAATAGATTTTTATCATTCAAATTGAATGCAAACGATTGATATCAGTGTTTAAGACACAGGTGTTTGATCCGATTGTTGTCATCAGTCATCATCAGCCAAGACATGGGTTCATCTCAAGACGATCTACTCATCGAAACCAAACAGATTATTAGTTCTCTGGTAATACCACATCCAAATGGTGTATCACTCAAGACATTATGCAATGAATACTTAGAGATGGAAGGTATGGATATAACCACAGACACAGACAGACACTATCGATGACCACATTATTAATAATATGTTTTTATTTTATTTGTTTGTCTGACAATAATCACAGGCAAAGACTTGCCGTTCAAAGAGTTGGGTTTCTCTAATCTAACAAATCTGTTAAAATCGATGCCAGATGTGGTCAGACCGTCGTTTGAAGACAACATATCGATAATGTTGTTCCCAGTGGTGAACGAATCGACCGAACATATCGTTGATATGGTTAGCAATCAAAGCCATAGAGGATTGAATAAAAAACTCAAACGTATGTCTTATTTATTATTGTTTTTATAATATTATAATCAAATGGTTTTTTTGGGTCAATTGATTGACCACTAAATTGAACCACTATTTGCTTTTCTGTTGTAATCTTATGATAAGATATATCGGATATATCTTCTATTAATCTGACAATTGGTTTCATATAATCTGCAATTATTTCTGATATTTTGTTGAATTAATTTGTAATTCAAAAAATGTTTAAATATTATATTTTATTATTAGTAGATAAGGTTGTCAAATGATTTTTCAAAATCAAAATCTGGATATTTTTTCGATAGTAAAAATTAATTTCATTTATATTAATAATCATTTAATTAAAAAAAAATTAATTGAAAAATTAATTAAAATAATGCTACCAAACTACTAAAAAATGCAAATGAAAACAATTTAAAAAACTGGAAATATTTAAAAAAAAAACTATTTTTATGCTATTTTTTAAACTATTTTGTAAATATATCATGATAATACCTTTTTTTAATTTTGTAAATATTTTTATTGCAATTATTTTAAAGACAATTACTAGACGTTTAGCAACCCTATTACTAGAGATCCCTTTAGGCAACACGTGGTTTGCGATAATTTTGAATTAATATTTATTTTTTGGCAAACATTCAAATTCAATGAAAGACTTCATATTTTTAAAAATTTTAGTTTTACTTTTATTTATGACTTTTTTTTAGTTGACATTTAGTTATTATTTTATTGATAATTGTTTTTTAAAAAATAATTGACTTAACATTTTTTTAACCCATTTTTAAAAACCATTAATTTAAAGGCAAAGGTTTGAAAAAAGTATCACAAACTACTCCACAACAAAATCGGTTATCATATTCACCACAAACTCCATCGCCATCTCCATCATCACTCAAAAGACCATTAGATCCACGACAGCAAAGAATGGATCCACGTTTAGCCAAAAGGATGAATACATCCAACAACTCGGACACCAATAGCCCTAATAAACAACAACAACCCGACAATAGACCTAATAATCAGAATGGTTCGGGAGATCATAACCAACGACAACAACATAAACCACAACAACAACAACAAACCCCGAGCCGACCGTATCACGAAATGTCAGATTTTGAAGTGACATCACTTGTTAGTGCTGTCCGCCAGAAGACAACAACAACCACTATTGAAGTGGCAAAGAATGGAATCGATTTGAAAACATGGGCCGAAATATTTGATGTCCAAACAGTTGCCGATTTGAAACCATTTCCATTGGAAACCAACGGAATGATGGTTGCGAAGGCCATTCTTAGACAACCTCTTAAAATAGGAGAGTATTCACTGAAAATTAATTCACGAGACGACGTCCGTCTATTTATGCCCGATAGCTCTGAACTCAAATATCTTCACATACCTCCAGCTATCACTCAAATCAATTTGGATTTAAATCATGGCTACGATATGGTTAGTGATATTCATTGGGGAAAGCCTTCAAACACTAAAATCGATGAACTCTTACAATGGATTTCACGAAATCGTAAAAAGTTTATGATTGCCGGAGAAGTCGCTTCCAAGCAGTTGCACACAGACTTTGTCTGCTATAGAGGTATATTGGCTAAGATTATGACCACACCGTATGAACAACAGAATCGTTGGGTGATCTGTGCGACCAAATATCGGGGAACAATATATTTGTGTCAATTTCATGAAGAGTTTCCCGAACCCGACGATTATTATAACAAAATGAGTTTCGGTGGTTTCCGATTTGAAAGCTATCTGACCAGTTATGAGGCCGAGTATCCGCCCGATCCTAACGACTTTGATCCCGATCATCACGAGTATTGTGCTGTTATGCGAACCCGACTTATGGCTGATGTTGACTCACATTCCCTGTGCTTTGGAGCCGAACTGGACTGTGTTCTGCCTAATGTTAGGGAACATCCGGGAACTTTATCCAACTTTATTGAACTTAAAACGACAAAAATTATGTCTTCTGAAAATCATTATCGAAATTTTCTGAAACATAAACTATTGAAATGGTGGGCACAGTCCTACATAGTCGGTGTTCCTACAGTTTATTGCGGTTATAAAGATAATAAAAATATTGTTAGAAATTTGGAACCGTTAAAGATTGAAGAGTTTCCAAATCTAGCTCTTGAGTTTTGGTCGGCTAATGTTTGTCTAAATTTTTTGAACAAATTTTTGACGCACATGAAAGAATTGGTTACCATCGATGATCCAAATGTTGTCTATCGGTTTGCATTTCAACCACAACAGGACATTACCTGCACAAGACTTGTCGATCCGGGAGAGTTCCAAATACTTCCTGATTGGTATATCCAAGAGTTTGCAAATTGATTTATTGATAACTTTAAAAAAAAAAAATTTGATCATAATTTATACAATTCATTTGAATTCAAGTTACAGATAAGTAATACTATCTATCTATAAATATCTATAGCATATGTTAAATATATTTCATCCAATTTTTTAAATTATCATTTATGAAAGTGTTGTTATATTTAGAGATCAACTGTTTGTATCATTTATTTGTAAGATTTTTTTTGTATAGTTATTATCAAAAAATTGGGTTTTTTGATAATGACTTGAACAGCAATTAAATTTATCGAATCATTTTGTAATTTTTTTTCAATCATATTTCACATATTTTTTTGTTTGTTTAATTTTTTTATTTATATATCTATAATTATAATTTGAAAAATTGTTTAAAGCAATTAGTAATAGTCATTTAGTTGTTATTATTAATTCAATAATTATGATATTTTTATTGTCTACTAATTGTTTGTTTGATTATAAAAGCTATTATTAAATGATTATAATTTTTTTGAATTTTAAAAATTATATTATTATATTATGTTTTATATTTGATTTTTTCAATTTTGACTATTGTTTTGTTTATAAATCAAACATGTATAGTATTATTCAATAATTATATGCACCTGTTTATATATATCTATATTTGATTTCAAAATTAAATCATATAAATATAGAACATATATAACAAACATATAATACAAATTATTTTTATAAATACAGAACTTATACAATAGTAGTTTTCAAACTAATTTGTTTTTGATAATTAGTATTATAATTGTATGCTTAGATTTGATTATTAATCTTACAATTGAATAAATTAAATTTATTAACTATCAAATTTTGGTATTCAATAATTATTTAAGTAATACAGTAAGTAAATATTATATATCATTTTTAAAAATAATTGTTATATTTTAATTAATTGAAAAAATAACATTAATAAATATATATTAAATAATTTTTTAAAGAATATTACTGTAATATAATTTATTAAACAGAATCAAATAATTTTTGAATGAAAATTTTGGTCATAAATTGTTTTATAAATACTAAATTAGTTTAATTTATATTTTATAAAATATAATTTTTCTATATTATAGATATGATAAAGTACTACTACTACTGTATAATAATAATACAGTAATAAAGTAAAGATAAAAACAATTATGGAGAGTATAAATGTAAATATTTCAAAAACTAAAATTAATAAATAGTATTTAATTTTATTTAATTTCTATAAATTACCAATTTGTTCATTTATTAAGCTAAGTTGCACATCAAACAATTATTATAGTGATATAGATATAAATAAATTTTTACTAAATTATAACGGTTAATATAACCTATACTCAATAATACAAATTATACTTCACTACACTTAAAAAATTAATAAAATGTTAATAAAAATTATTATAATATAGAGAATTAATATTAGAATTTAATAACTAAATACAATATTTAGTCAAATATATTAAAAAAAACAAAATATTATAATAATTATAAATAACATTTAATAACTAAAATTTATTGAATACTCTAATCGTAACAATCAATAGACAAGTAATATATAAATAAGTGTTGATTAGGTTTTGATGAGAAGCAGAAAGTAGTTTAGCTGAGTATTGATGGCAATGATCTTCGCCCTTATAATCGCCAATACAAGTGGCAAATGCTATGACGTGTGCAATATATGACTGTTCATTAGTTCCCGACAATAGGTGGGCCATTGGACCTGCACTATATGCGGCCACATCTTCACCTCCGTGTGCATTGCTGTCCAAATGAACGGCCGATAATGACTGGTACCGAGGATTTCCTTTATAGATATACCCAAAAAATATATTAATTAAGTTTTAAAATTATAATATATATTTTGTAATGACTTACTGGTGTCGACAGTTGACGGGTCGTCTCTGTTTTGTTGATATCCCGGACCGTTTCCATACATAAGTGTCGTATAGGGTTTATTAGTCGAGTCATTGCCGGCAACACCTAATATATCGTTACCACGTTTGGAGTAACCGTTGAATGACAGAGTATGCGAGTGGTCGGCCGTCACAATCATCAAAGTGTCCAAATGTGAGGCCATTGAAGTGGCTTTAGTGATGGCCTTATCAAAAGCAACGGTATCATGAATGGCCAGTTGTGCATAATTATCGTGATGTGCTTTATCTATATTTCCGGCCTCAACCAGTAAGACATATCCGTTCTTGTTTTTACTCAGTATTTTGACCGCCGTTTCGACCATCAATTCCAATGACGGTTCGCCACTATCCGAGTCATCTCTTTCTCTATCATAGGACAAGTGGTCGTAATTAAATAAACCGAACAAATAGTCGACTTTATCGGTATCAACACTCTTGAGTTCGCCATTAGTTTCGACAAATTTATAAGAATTAGAGTCAAATCCTTTTTGTTTTTTTGTTTTGAGCCAATCATCGATCAGATTCCTGCCATCCCTTCGCGCTCCATATTTGCCATCTCTGGACTGGATATCTTCGGGCAAAAAGAAACGTCGGGCGCCTCCGAGTATTACTTTCAGTTCACTTCCCGTCTGGTCTTCGATAAGTTGTCTGGCAATGTCTTTACAATTACCGGTCATATTTAGGGGAACGGTTGACTCCCAGTCCCGATTGGATATATGAGCATAACTTGCAGCCGGCGTGGCGTCAGTGATCTGAGCTGTGGTCACCAAACCGGCGCTCTTTCCTAAAAAAAGAAGGATAATTATTGGTCATAAAAGGGCACAAGTGGTCATAAAATAATTTGCAAATATATATATATAACTAAAAAAAACTTTTAAACAACAAACCGGAATCAATAGCCCACTGAAGTATCGATTGGATACTGTTTTGTTGTATTGATTGGCAATCATTTGAATATCTGGCAACTCTTGCATTCACACCAATTGTTCCGTCATTTGTCTTAATTCCGGTAAGAAAAGCATTGGCAGAGGCGGCCGAATCAGTCACTTGATTGTCAACATTATAGGTCTGGAAAAAACGGTAACAAAAAATCATTTTTATTATATAATAGTTATATAAATTGTTTATAACAAAATTTTTTGCAATATTAGCAAAAATTTAATTCATAAATTATTTGTTTATAATTAACTGTTAAACAAAAAATCCATATAAACTATTAATTACTTTAATAAGCGAAACGTATGGGAAGTCTTCAACGATAAGTTTAGTTTCTTCACCGGAACGGTTGTTCAGTTGTCCCTTAAGTATACGGGCGGGTGTTATGGTTGTAATACCCATACCGTCACCGATAAATAGTATGGCATTCTTGGCCTGTCTTACGATCGGCTTTTGATTCATTGATCTTTTCAATTGATTTTTTGCCATTTGTATCCAATATTGTGGATCTATTTCGGCTATTTTTTTGAACAATTTAAATATATGTAATTAATTTTAACATTTTATTTGTTTGAATACTCAATTAATTTGTGTGAAAATATTCAATCAATTTTATATCTAATTATTAGTATAATTAAAATATTAGATTTAATAAAAAATATTTAAAAATATATTTGTCAAGTCTTTTATTAATTTATTTGAAAAGTTAATTAACTTGTCTTTTATCCCATGAAAATCAGTAAATAATATATATATATATATAATTAAAATAATCAAACTAATAGTTAATAATATTGACAATTAGTTAAGTGATTAAGTAATAAAATAAATGTTTTAAAAAAATTATTGACATTTAAGATAAACATTAAATGAAATTACAATATAGTTTATATAATTTTTGATTATTTACAGTATTAGTAACGATAAGCTCAATGATATACAGTATACATCACATATTAATGTTTAAAAATTAATAAATATTATATAAAAAAAATGTAATTTTGATTAATCAATCAATCATTATATAACATATAAAACAAATTTTATTGGTAATATTTTTTAGAAATTTTAATATCAAATCATTGAAACCATTGATTATTGAGGCATACATTGAATTTGTGATTAAAATATAAAGAATTTTATTTTTATTATTTGTTCAGTTATATTAAATTTTTTTTTTTGGAAATGTTTATAAATATTATTTAGCTTACTATACGTAAAATACTAATTATTAAAAGTTATTAAAATATTTTATTTTGTCAAACCGCATAAGTTTTATATAATTTAAAGTTAATTATCATATCATATCATATTAATGTGTTATGCACTTGAAAAATTGTAATTATAATAAAAATTTAAATAAACACCTTATGTTTTTAAATTCATATGTTTTATATTTGAAAAAATAAACAATTTTTAACTCTAAAGCTTATGGGACTACTATTAAATGCAAAAATTATATATTAAATATAAATTTCTTTTATTATGCTAATTTGTAATACAAATTTTTATTAAATAAATAGTCTAAAATTTTTTTATTGTATTAAAATTATGACTTTCATATGTCATTATTAAATTGCATATTAAAAATTTGCAATATTGTAGCTTGGTAGGTAATTTAATAAATTATTTTTAAAAATATTTCATAATTTTAAAAACCAAAAATTAGTAATTTTATTTTAATAATAATATTAAATAAATTATTATAATTAAATGTTTAATCGAAAATTAATGATTGTAGTGTAGAAATTATTATTTAAAAAAAATTACTATACAAAAAAAGGTATTTAAATAAAAATAAAATTCAATGAATGAAAAAATTGAATAATTTAAAAGCAATTAATCAAATAAACAGAAATTTTGTTGTTGTTTATTGAATACAATAATCTTATGTATAATTTATTTCAAAGAAAAAATAATGAAAAATTTTACAACAAATAATTGGTTAATAGTTTTATTGGAAAATATATTACAACAAAAATTCTCAATTCAAATAACATTAAATAAATTTTAATAATTAAATTTATAAAATAGGTTTATATATTTCTATTGCAAAATCGGATATTATAATAGTCAATAAAATTACAGATCAAAAAAATATATAATTGAAATAAATAAATTAGACTATAGTAAAAAAATTTAAGTCCATTTACCTTTATTACTGGCATAAATTTTGCTTGTTAAACATAATGATGGTAGTAGCAGGGTCATCAATATTACTGATAAAACAATATTTATAAAACGTTTTTTGAAACCCATGTTTCTTAATTGTGTTAACACACACACACACACTGGGCTCACAAACAATTACCAAAATATATATATATTTAGTTTACTTTTTATATCTAAAAAATACCAGTATTTACTTTTTTCTAAATTTAAGATTTATTTATTTTTCTGACATAAATCAATAAAATAACTTTTATTTGCTGGTTGTCTATTGTCAGTGACACTAATACACACTCTTTATAGTAGTTTTTCAAAAACTGTTCAAATAGTAGTAGTAGTAGTAGTAGTAGTAGTAGTAGTGTTTGTAATTAGTATTTAATAATAAAAGCAATAATTTTGTAAAATGTGATATTATTTTTATTAATATACTTAGAAAATATTTTATTACAAATGTTTGCGCACACATTTATAGTATATAAATTTTAGTGTGAATACTGTTTTATAAAATATTATACTAACAATTTGACGTTTAAAAACTGTGTGGAGTATTGGTTAGAAGGGGGGGAAAGGGATCTTATAAATTATAAGTTATAATACCAACACTATATAGTACTGTGTCGGGAAAGACCTGTTTTTCAATGCAATTGAAATCTATGCCAATAATAAATTATTTTTACAAATAACTAATTATCTGAACAGTGAACAAAAAATAAATTATCAAAAAAACTCATTTGATATGTGTATTACATCTATTAGTTTAAAATTTTATTTTCAATAAAAAAATACAACTAAATAAATAATTTATTATTTTTTCTAATTGTGTCATGTTTTACACTATTGTGGAAGACATCTAATAATTGAGTTAAATTGATGTCAATTTAAATAACTATATAATTAATTAATTAGATATAATAAGAATCAATTAACGAATATTGAACTCTTGTTTCTTTTAAATTATTTTTTTTAAAAAATATATAAATTTTAGTAATAAATTTAAATATCAAAATTTTACTTTTAGATACAATAGATTAAAATTATGTTAATACTACTAATACTAAATGTATACCCATATAATTAAAATCCAGTTCATTGAATTATAATCCATTTAAATATCTATTATTTTCTTGTTGTTGATGATACTGTATTTTAACCTTGATATATTTTCAAATTCAGTATTTATTATAATTTTTTAAAAATAAATTTATGCCCTCATTTAATATAAATTAAAAATTAATAGAATTTTTAAATCCAATGCATTATTAATTAATAATAAAGATAAATATTTGTGAATTTATTGTTTATTAAAATCATTAATAATTTTTCTAAAGTTTACAATTTGTTTGTTTGTTAGTCTTTTTTGAACTACAATATTATTATTATTATTATCAAATAAACAAATATAAATGTAAGTCAATTAACGATTAAATTATATAATAGTTATTGTCAATGAATTTTTTAAAATAAAATAATAATAATATAATTATTTTTTAAATAAAATAATAATAACATAATTATTTTTATTTTTAAAAATTATTATTACAGCAAAATTGATTTATACCAAAAGTATATCATAAATCTAAAATATAATAGGTTTATAAAAAATGATGATTAAAAACACAAAATGTTTGGTCAAATTATTTTTTGTTATAAATTTGATAAAATGGACATAACTTTTGATATATGTTTTCATTTTACAGTATTATCATTAATGATAATTATTATAAATACTGTATTAATCAGTCATAACAACCCTATGTTAGTATTTTTTTATAAATCGTTAATTAACTGCTATTTATTTTAATAATTATTTATATAATTTATATATCAATATATATTTTCAATCAATAATGCTTAGTATTGTATATTTAAGAAAAGTTACACTAATTTTCTTAAAGTGTACTTTAATTACAAATCAAGTGCTTTTATTTTTTTGTTCACTAAATATTTATATTTTATCTAAACTTATCTATAAAACTACTAAAATTTTAATGTTATTTTAATTTCATATTAATTTATGCACATAATAATTGTTTGTTGTTTTAAAAATTTCATTATTACTATTGTTTAAATTAAGTTTTTAAAAATTATTGTACATTATATCAGCAAATAGTTAATATTAATAGAGTTAATATACCGGCTATTATACTAATTATTATTATATCTGTTTTGTTTTTTAGTCAATCAATTTATTAATTAAAACTCATTTTAATTTATAGTACCGTAAATTTATGTCTTAAATGTATTAACAATATTTTTTGTCTATTAATTTAATAAAAATCGATTTTGTTTATAACGTTAATAGTGAGAGAGATATCATAAAAAGTGATAAACAATGTTAATAATAATAATAAACAAATATGCATTTCATTAATTATTTATACATATAGTCATTAAATTTATGATCAGCAATTTATATCTATATTTTAGTTTTAATTATTTATTATTAATCACCTAATTAAATCATATATGTATATAATCTCAGACTAATAAAATATAAAAAATTTTATTTCATTTGTTTAATAATTTTAATTGTAAAATAAATTTTTATTATTATTGCTGATTATCATTAATTAATTGATGATAGAAAACAAAAATAATTTATTTATATATATCGTAATTCAATATATTTCGATGTTGTCATTCAATTTAAAAACAAACAAACAATGAAATCAATAGCACTTTATATCTGAGATTTAATTGAGATAAGAAAACATTTAATTTAAAAAATAACAAAATTAAAAGATAAGCCATTAATTAATATATTAATCATTAAAAGCACATAAAAATCAATGAAAACCCATTTTAAGCGGTTCTCAATATGATATGAACTCCCGAATCGGTTTCAACCAAATCAGACATTTGACCCATTTTTAGAGCAAACGCCGAGTCCTCGAACGGCTTTTGCATCGCTCCGCGAGTAAAATAACCCAAATCTCCGCCCTTTTTGGCCGACGAACAATCGGACACCTCTTGGGCCAAGTCTTCGAGCGTTGTCTGTCCGGTCTCTATCTGTTTGCGATATTCAGCCACCAATTCGATGGCTTCCTCTTTACTTCTGGTAATCTTCTCCTCTCTCCACGACGACGGCCGCCGACTTTCCGTATGTTTGACCAACAGATGCGAACACCGAATCTTTTCGTTGTCTTTACTGCTGGCCTCGTCTGTCGGTCGATCCCATTGACTCTCTTTGGTATAGATATTAAGATAATAGACTTGTCCAGTACTACGGCTGACCCGTTTCTCCCAGCCTTTCGGCAACTCTTCGTTTTGGTCGTCGTTGTCTGCCATCACTGTTTGTAATCAATGGTGTGAATCACTCAATCAGATCCCAACAACAATTGAAGTGTAATTTTTTTGGACAATTAATTCAAACGCTAATCAATAGCACAAAAGATTTGGATTTTTATGTTTTATTTGATAACAAATTTCTTTGTTTTTGTTGTGATTTTCCTTTGGAAGACTGTTTTGCGATATTTTTTATTTTGTGGCACAAAAATTATCACCAAATATAACAATCAAATCAATGGATCATATGGTGTGAGCAATGATTTGAAACAAAAAAATTTATGTAAATATATATCAATAATAATAACAACAATGTCTTCAAATGTCTTTCACAACAAACACTTCAGCGAAGAATTAGAGAGAAAAAAGTCTGTCTCAGAGTTGCGGCAAAAGTGTCGACCAATCCATGCGTTTAATTAAATAATAATGTTATCATAATATACGTTATTTTGGTACTATTTGTGTCTTAAACTCATATATAATTCTAGTATGAAATAGTCATTAACTTTCGCCAAACATATACAACAAATGGGTGTTAATGTAAAATATATAACATTTAACTCATATCTCAAGTGATGTCACTCTCTCTTTGATTCATTCATTCAATGATATCATTACTAAAATAATAATCAATAAATGTATTGTTTTTATCTGAGAAAAAGGGCCTAACATTGTATTTAAATAGGGCTAGAGTTGAGTTCATTTAATATTATTATTATTAAACAGTAAATACACGTATTATAGGATTTACAGTATTTATTGCAAAAACATCCAAAAAGATCGCAGTTTTTGTTTACATTGAATTCCAGGGCTTTTAAATTATTGAATAATAGAGTGACTAAACTATTCAAAAACACTACTATATACTGTAAACTAGTTATTGAATACTAAGTTTATAAAATTAAATTAGACATACAGTATAAACTAAGTACAAATTAAATCAGTAATTATAAAATTATTTTACTTATTATTTGATATAAATTTTTAAAAGTTTTTTTTTGAAAATATTTGTTAAATTTGTTTGTAAACGTTATATATATGCATTATAAAAGTTATCATCATATTAAATATAAATATAAATTTAACACTAGTTTTCAATCACTACATGTACAATTTAGATTATCACTTAGCAACTTAATTATAGATAAATGTTAATTGCACAATTAATTTCATAGAATAATGAGCTAGTCAAATATTTTTTTTTAAATAAATACTATATAGTACTAAAATATATATATATATTTGATTGCATTAACTAGTGCAATTTAAAAAAATGTATGAATCATTGCTAATAATATAAATTATAATACAATTATATACAGTAATGACAGGCATTAATTGTGCAAACATTTGGCAACTCTACAAATAAAACCATAGAATATCATATGAGTTGGTATTAGAAAGTAATGTCTCCAATGCTTTACAATTGAATTGTTATTTTTTGTTGACAAATGTGTTATAAATAACATACGATTTGTTTGCATTGATTGCCACAAAAATAGCTGACATTTAATATAAAATTTTAATATTATTTTTTTATATACTTTTATATTACTGTTTAATAATAATAAAAACGATTTCATTATAAAAGAGAAAAATAAAATAAAAACTATTTTTATAGTCATCTCTTGATATGTAATGTTATATCGATTTGTTTGTCATCATTGGTATCGACTCAGTGTTTGTCTTCAACTATTACCGCATCACTCAAAGACATCCATCAGTTGATGACATAGTTTGCTGTGAAAAGTGCTAAACATTTGACCGTTTAATTGATTTTTCTTGTTTTAAGACAAATATAACTATCGATGCATTTGATAGACATTGCAATCGACGACAACTCAAGAGCCAAACAAAAACTTTTTATTAATTAAGTGGTCTATTAATAGTTGGGAAGTCATTGACCGATAGATTGATCACTAAAAAACGGGTGAAAATGTCGGAAACAGTACGCTTTGTAACGGCCGCTGCCAACCGAGGCAACGGCGACACCGCCGCCAACGGACAGACGGCCGAAGAGATGCACGAATTCATAACATTTCAGCGCCAACTTTCGCGGCCAACCGATCACTACCGACCCAAACATCTGTCCGTACCGCCCACTGCTGCAGACAATCCATACGCTCCGCCGCCCAAACCGGGACACACAACAGCGCACACCTATCTGTCAAAGTTTTTGAAGGATCCGATCGCCACATCGTTAAACTCATTCAGTCGGGTCACAAATCTGGTGACGAGTCCCACCTTTTATGATGAGGACTATTTGGCCTCATTGCCAGCTCTGCATCTGTTGCGGCCACCGGGAAATGCCGAACGAGTCCACCGAAATAGTCCAACCCATGAGTTTAGCGAACAGCCACTGATCGACTCGATTTCTGGCGTCACTAACTTCAATGTTGTCAATAAACTATCGGACGTTCCTCTACCACCACCAGCTCTGCCATTGATTCCATGTACTGAACCTCAATGTCGTCTCTCACCGCTAACGCCACAAGACTTGTTTGACGACAACTGTCCTTTGCTTACTGTCGATCAACTTCTGGAACGAATTTTTCGAGGCGTCAGTTATTTTATATATTTAAATAATAATCATTTATTTTTTTTATTACCGTATATTAAATTATTTGTCTTTCTTTTAAAAAGGGTTTAAGTGATAATGAGTTTCGTCAGCGATTGTGGCCATTGGTATTGGGTTTGACCGATAGTGTTGACGAGTTTGACTGGACTCAACTTTCCGATCTGTTCGAGATATACAACACTCAATGGAATGCTATACTTCCCGACCAGGAGTTAAGATTTACGGCATATCGCGAAAGAAAATCATTAATCGGTATTATATTGTTATGTATTATATAATTATCGTAATATTAATAATAAATGTATAAATATACTCATAAAACATAAGCGAAATTATTATTAATAATTTTATTATTATTATTTGTATGTATTTTACATATTGTTTTGTTGTTTTGTTTAGAAAGGGATGTAATTCGTTGTGATCGCACCCACCAGTTTTATAAGGGAACGTCCGATAATTTGGAAAAGTTGAAGGCCTTATTGCTGACCTACACTATGTATGACTTTGACACTGGCTATGTTCAGGGTATTAATTAAATTAAAGTTTTTTGCTATTATTATTGTTATTTGATTTTTTCATTTCATTTATAATTATTAAAATTAATGTTGACTCGTGAAGGCGTTTTTTGCACTGAAATAATAAACCCATTGCCCGTAAAGAATATATAATTAATTAAATGCAAAATTTAAATCAAGTGTTGCATAACATTTCAATATTGTTCAGCCCTTCCCTTATATTCTTCCCCTTTACCGGTCATCACTCATCAGTCAATTCATGAATGTATTAATTATTTCTTATGTGTTTTTTTTATTCATTTGTTTATTTGAAAAAAATCATTATATTGTATAATGAGTTTTGCTATTATTTAGAAGAAATGTATTAATTTTTTTATTCTTATCTTAATTTAAAACAGAATTTATTTTATAAATATTTTTGTGTTTTTTTGTAAGCAATGTTTTTACATTATATTTTGTTTTAATTAATTCAAAGGTATGTCTGATTTGGCGTCGCCTTTGCTGTATGTAATGGACGGCGACGTTATGAAAGCCTTTTGGTGTTTCGTACGAGTCATGAAATTAATTGTAAGTTATATATTATAATTGGATTTTAAATATAATTAAATATATCAATGAATTTACGATATCTTTTTTAAAATTTTAATTTAATTATAAATCATGTTTCTTAAAATTAAATATATACTTATAATATTAATTGGATTGTATTGTATTAAATATATTACAAAAAATATATATATTTATATATTTTGTTATATAATAGGGAACTAATTTCGAGATGTCTCAGTCGTCGATCAAATTTCAATTAGAAATGTTATGGAAATTAATTGAATTGACTGATCCCTGTTTTGCACAATACTTAGGTATGTGTTTCTCATAATAATTATTATATTTGTTTTTTTATTTAACAACACAATGTATCAATTCATGCCTGTATTTATCAATGTAGCTATCATTTCATTATTTATTTTTAACGTTTTTATTTATTTTTGCTAATTTTTTTGTTTATTGATTAAATTATTTTTATTCTATATATATTTTTTTAGTATTTTGTAATAACATGTTATCGCACACATTGTACACTAATTTTTTTAAAATGCATTTTTTGTTTTAAGCGTTTTTTTAATTTTATTTATTATTGCTTAGATAATTTAAATATTAATATTATAATTTGATTTAAGGGTTAAAATTGTAATATATATTAGTTTGAAAAAATAGGCAATAATTTAAAAAGTGATGTTTGACATTGATTTATCTAAAATAAAGATAAAGATAGATAGACACACAATATGAGAAAACGCCTAAATATCATTGGTGTTAAACAATACCACCGATTTATATTGTAATAAATATTACTGATATTATTAAGCAATTATAATATACAGTATTATAAATTTATATATAATGGGCAATACTTGTATTGTGTTTTTTTTGTTGTTGAAAATTATTCGCTAATATAATAGTCGATTAATTTCTATATAAGTCGAAAAGTGTTTTATAATTGTAACAATTATTATGCAATTTTTCATAACTAATAGTTTGTTTGCCTAAATAATAATTGATTTGATTTTAATCAAATAATAATAATAAAAAAATATATATTTAATGATCACTTCCAATATAATGCATGTATACTAACTTATAGAAAATAATAAATAAATAATAATAATACAATACTAGCTTTTTTGTTACTTATACAGTATTATATATATTGCAATTGAATTTTTTATGATAGGCTTTTAGAAAAATATGAATTTTTAATATTATTTTTCTTCAAATATAGTACAACATTTTAACCCCACTATTTGGGTTAACATTTATTTTGAATTGAAGGCGTTTTTTGGTTAACTTCAATGTATGTTTCACACAAATATCCCGTGTGTTTGTTATGAGACCTTTAGTGCCCATCATTTTTCTTTAAAATAAATTATAATTATTGGTATAATGAAACACAAAAATTAATTATAATATATTAGTTGTCTAAGTGTGCAGTAAATAAAAAAAAAACTGGCAGTAAATTTTTTTTCTAATAACAAAATAAACAACTAAACGTTTGATTATATTAATAAATACTAGGTCCCAATGTATAGCCTTTTATTTATTTATTTATTTATATGGCATATTATTTTAATATACAATTACCTTTTTTATATGCCTATATTTTACTAATATCACTACATAGATATTAATAAATATACCCTTTACTTATATATGAATTTATACTATATATATTAATATATAATTATAATAATATTGTGTGTTAGCCTTAATTTTAGTTAGTATTTTGTTAACATGAAATAAGAGCACAAAAAGTATTATTATAAAATATATTATATAATCATAATACACATACAAAAACATTAAGCATTACTATATTTTAATATAAGTTACCAAAAATGTATGTCTAAAGTTTGATATAAAAAAAAATTCATAAAAATTGATTTCAATGCAAATTATGATAATTTAAATATTTTGCTTTGTTTTCATTTCTTTCTCTCTCTCTCTCTCTCTCTCTCTCTCTCTCTCTCTCTCTCTAATCTATGTTATTATTATATGTTATATAACTCATCATTTAATTTATATGTTTTGAGGCAAACATGTAATAACAAAAAAAACTAGTAATCGCCCGATATTTTAGTTTTTTACTCTTATAAATATTTTAATGAATTTCTTATAATAATAATAATAATATAGTTTATTCGTGTAATTATTATTCTCATTTTTTGTTGGTTTTTACATAAATGATATAAAAGCAAAAAAATATGTATTTCTTTAGTTTTTCAATAAACAGCTACTTATTAGACTTTTAATAAAAAGCCGATTAATTTTATGCTATTATTTTTGGTACCGAAATATAATGTTTAAATACATTTTGATTAAATTTAGTACACATATGTAGTTTGACATACATTATACAAATAATATGTAATGTTTTATAAGACGATTGCTTTGAAATAATTAACTTTTCTATTAACAAAAAAAATATAATTTAATTTTTATGGAAAACTAATTAATTATTATTTTTATGATTGCATTTTATAAAGCAAATAAAGATTCGACTAATTGTTATTTCGCTTTCCGATGGATTGTCTGCCAATTTAAGAGAGAGTTTATGAAAACAGAAAACGATGGCTACGATGACTGTCTGACACTATGGGAGAGCATATGGTCGGCGCATATAATGAGAAAGTTGACCACAAAATCCGATACAGAGCTAATAGACTGCACCACCGATAGTAGTACACAATTATTGTCAGCAGCAGCAGCTGGTGAGGATACCAGTGCTACAAACACTGCGACCACTACTTCACCAGCAGCTAGAGTGCCGAAACCATTGGGCAGTCATGAAAAGATCAATAAGAGTCTGAGTACGGGTGCGCTCGACTCGAATCCTATAGAAGTACCGGACGTAAAGTTTCGTAACGGATCTCACGCCCGGTCACGCAGTTTTCGCGTGAAACCCGATCGCAGCGACGGCCCACCAAAAACACCGACAAAGAAGGAGAGCAACAATGACTGGGCATTCAAAGCACCCGAAAAACATCTGACGGACGCCGAGCTCTACTCACTAGCGATATGCCTGTCAATCATCAGAAGGGAAAGGGATATAATAATGGCTCAACAATTGGACGCAACTGACATCTTAAAGGTATTGTTTGTGTGTCGGTCACGAATTGACTCATTTTTTTATTACTGTTTTATTATTATTATTATTATTATTATTATTATTTAGTATAATTTATAAATATTATAGTTTTAATTAATTATTTTTTTATATCTCGAGTGAAATTATTTTATGATTATTATTATTATTTTTGTTGATTAATAATGAAAGACAATTATTTTATTTTTTTGTTTTATTATTGTTTATCTTTATTTACTAACTTTCATTCATTTTTCTATTTCTCTATTTTTTAATTTTTAAAATATAATTGTTTTTATCTGTTGTTTTTTGTTTTTTACTTTTGTTTTATATTAGATTTTTAATTTTGGTTGATTTCTTGTTTTTATTTGATATTTAATTGTTTTATATATTTTATTTAATCTATTATTTATTATCTTTGAATTATTTTATTTCTATGATTTTGAATATTTTCAAATCGTGTTAATGTTACAAAATTAATATTATATTATTAAATAGCAATAATATAATTCAAAAAAAAATAATAATTTACTTATTATTTAAAATATTACAATACATTTTTATTTGATAACATATTAGTCTCTCTCTCTCTCTCTCTCTCTCTCTCTCTCTTTCTTTCTTTCTTTCTCTCTCTCTCTCCCTCTCTATCTTTCTATCTATCTCTCTCTTTATTTTTTGTATAAATTAATTGATTTTTTTAAATATTGAATGCGTTTACCAGTATTGTTATATATAATAATTATTTAATGTAATTTAAAAAACATTTTTTCTGCTGTTCTCAATTTATTGTTCATTGGATTAAAATTATTATTTTCCAATAATTGATTGTATAATTGAAAATTTTAATCAAATTGATTGCTAAGCATGACTTGTATTGCTGTATATATATATATATATGTTTTCCTAAAAAAACAGTTGTTAACTACTTTTATAGTCCTCATATGCACCTTATTATTGTTGCAGAAAATTTTGTATGAATTTAATATGAAAAGCTATTAAAGATAAATAGAGAGAAAATTATTGGAAAAATTATCATTTAAATTTGCATTTGTTTGAACAGTTAATTGTTTTTAGAAAAACTTTCACTTTTATCCCACTTATTATCTTTTATATATTTAAATGACAGTAAAAAATTAAAACCCATTTTAATATGTAATTATTAGCCATTTATTTGCGCGAACCAAATAAGAATATATATACAGTTATATAATAACTAAATTAATAGTAGTAAAAAATAATAATAATAATAATTTTTTTGAACAAATCCAAGGCTATAACTGCCGTAAATTTTTTATGTCTGTGAATTTATTATTAAATTTATTTATTATTTTTCATTTGACTTAACAATATTATACTGTATATAGTATACTATATACTGCATATATATATATATATATATATATATATATATATATATAATTTAATGGCAATCGTGAGTTTGTGTGGTCTGTCATTAGCCTGTATTATAAATAAATGAATTTAATTTTTTTTTAGTTAATGTAATTAGAATTCAAATCTTGTCCTATAATATAATTTAAAATCCCGAAAACCACTTATTGTTTTTTTCAACAACAAAAAATAAATTTGATTTTTATTATACTTTAATTTTTTTTATATTATGTATATTTTTTCGAGAAATTTTTTTTCAAAAAAGTAATTTTTATTAATTATTTTTTCATTGTGTGTTTGTTTTAGCACTTCAATACACTGCAACTGAACAGTGAATTGGAGAATATATTACTACACGCGTCGCACATCTGGTATTGGCTGACCCACGACTCGGGCGAATCGCTTCTATATAAACAATCGGAACAACCGGTCAATGAGGCCAACGACGACTTTGACCTCTTGCCTGACTCACTGCCCGATGTCGACGACTACTTCATAATCAATGCATCGAATATCTGATTGCCTGACAATCCGAAAGTTTAAACAAATTTTTATTTAATATATATATTATTTTGTTGTTAATAAAACAAAACTATTATTTGTTAAAATAATTAATTTATTAATTATATACATATATTTAATGATCCAATAATTACATGAAATGAATTATAGATTAACCAATTTATATTTATATATATATAAATCATATAAAGTTATATAAAACCCCAAACACACTATATTTTTTGTCCCTATATATAATGGCTAAAAATTATTAGTTATTAGTATCATTAATATTTTAGTTATAATTATGAATAATTTGACAATATATAATGTTCTCAATATAATTATATCTATATATTTTAAATATAAAGAACCAGCTATAATGAATATATTTATGAATTTATGTTATGTTAGCTAAATATTAGTAGTTTTTATTATAATTGTATAAAACATTTTTTTAAAAATATATATACAATTTATTACATAATATTAGTTTCTGATCTCATACACCCTTCAATTTATCTATATATTAATATATTGTTTCATTTTATAGAAAAAGTGTCTGACAAATGTGGGACACATTTATGAATATATTTTAATATATTTAACATTTTATAAATTTGTTTTAATATGTTATTTCCAGCTGTGAATTGTGTTGTTATCTTTGTTTTGTTAGATATAAGGGAATAACGAGAATATCATTTGCATAAAATTATGTTTAATTTGATTTTTATAATTTTAATGCATTATTATTATTATTTATCGAAACCAATATACTGGTAATAATAATAATAACAATAATAATAAATATTAATAATAATCGGGAAATGAATTTACACGAGTTATAGTTTATAATAAGTCACACATTATTTGAGAAAATTAATGCCTTAGTTATTATGGAGAGAAATATTTCAGTGGAAGTAATATATTTAATATATAATATCAAAGTTTTTGATATGTTTGTTATAATTGACTTACATTTTTTTCTCCTTATAATTGCATTATTATTATTATTATTGAAATTCATTGATGAGATGATCTCAATGATCGCACAAAAAAATCGTGCAAAAGATAACTCCCAATGATTACAATTCGTGTCCAGCAGTGGGTGGAGTAGTAGTATCTGAAAAGCAAACTATGCTCTTATTATATATAGCTATCTATCTCTTTATTTTATCCCTTCAGCACTGGTATTCTCTCATTATTTTCTTATATCTTTTGATACATTATTATAATAAAACCAAAGGTCTTGTCTTTACAGTATATATGCCAAAGTGTACCTCAAATAACACTATTATATAAAAATTTATATATTTATTGTTGATTTTTTCTCTTACTATACTATTCCTGACAGATATGTATCGCTCAATTGAGGAGAAATATTACATGAAAAATCCTATTATATAATACCTGTATTATAATATACAGTATATTCAGTGTATATGTGTGTTAGTTCTAAGATAGAGTAGATTTTTAAAGACAAACTGATGGGTGAGACCTTAAGTTTTTAATACAAAACATTCAGTGAGAGAGAGAGAGAGAGAGAGAGAGAGAGAGAGAGAGAGAGAGAGAGAGAGAGAAATATACAAATTTTATATTTAAATATTACATGAATGGCATTATTATTGAAATACTGTATAAAACACGATTTAGAGCAACACTTTAAGTGTGAGAATATTTTTAAAAAATATAATAATAATAACAACAATATAACTTGTTTTTGCTCTCAGTTTAAAATATACGACATTTAATATTATATGAGAAAGCCCTTTACAACACAAAAAATGTGATTTATATATATTATAAATTTATATTTATGTATATATATATAAATAAATATTCCGATAATATCTAGAAATTCAAATTATTTTGTATATTTTACACGTAAAAAAACCTTATAATAAAAAAATTGTATTTTTATTATTTCTCGTAAATTTTATTATTATTTCCGTTTATTATTATTATTTTACTAATCTATGAAAATGTAAAAATACTATATATTTATTTCAAAAACATTTTATATAAATATAAATAAATATATATATATATAACGATTTTTATCTTTTCCAATACAATAAATATTATCATGAGTTTTGAAACAAATGTTGTATTTTTAAGACACAATTTTTTAAAAAGTATGTCTAGAAAACACACGAAAATATACTAAAATTTAATGTCCAAAATGCCTTTTAATATTATATATTAATATATATATATATATATATATAAATTTTAATGATAATTTATATTAGTAATAATAATAATAATAATAATATTAATACAATAATTGTTATTTAGTTCTCTCAATATATATATTTATTACTATAATATTGTTATCATTTATTTTGTTTGTTTGTTATTGTTATCACAAAGATTTATTATATAAATTTTTAAATTTAAAGTGAAAGTTTTTTTTGTATTGTAAAAATCGTGTGTAAAAACCTTTAAAAAATTTTTAAGTAACGTAAAAACAATATATATCCTATTTTTCCTATATTAACGTAAAAAATCCCATTAAATGCTTCAATAAAAATAATATAAATTTTTCGAGTACATTAACTTTTTTTAAAGATTACAATAACTTATATTTTTTGCATTATTTAATATAATAATTATTTTTTGGAAAAAATGACTCGTATTTTTCTCTTAATATTTATAATTATTATTAATAAGAGTGACAAAAAAGTTTGAAACAAAATTTTAATGTAAATTATTTATTATACAGTGTATACTAATAGTATATATTTGTGACAACAAGAGAGAGAGAGAGAGAGAGAGAGAGAAAATACAAATTAAAGAGTAAATAAATTATATAATAATTTTATTGTCCACAAAATAAGTAAAAAAATCCTAACTTGCATTTTTAAATAATAATAAATAATAGTATAGTAGTAGTAATAATAATAACAACAATTTTCTTATTTATTATTAGAGAAAATGAATGACTGACTACTTATATTTCATTCATAAATATTATAATATTATATATTCACGAAATGATGTTAAATAAGAGCGAAAAAATTGATTGTCATTATAATGGCTCAAAAAAGGGACACTTATAAGCCGGAAATTTATTATTATTTTATTTTTTTATTATTATTATGTATATCATTCAATTATATGCTTATATTATATATATATATATATATATATATTTATATGTATTGTATATGCGTTATATTCAGTTGTATGTTATTTTTCAACTATCTTATTATGTAATCAAAAGTATCCCTTAAAAAAGTAATTTAAATAAATAACTCTTAACTCTTACTTACTTTGAGTAAAGTTATGATAATTATTTAATAAACGGCTATAAATATAAGTAAATATTAACTGATTATAGAGTAAGTTATAAGCAAAACATTTTTATATTTATTAATAGGAATAGCACTTTAATTTTTTTTGTTACTAATATTTCCCTATTATTGTTATATTACACATGTATTTATATATATATAAAAGAAGTATATATTTAAATATTATTATTATTATTAAATGTAAAATAAAAAGTACAGTTATATGACTATACAATACATAAAGATGTATAAATTAAATGCAGTATTTTATATATACATATATTTATATAAATTAAAATAATGATTTCTAATCACATACAGTGAACAAAAGCGATTAACATTTTAGTTAGTTATTTATTTTGTCTGATCATTAATTGTGCATTTGTTATATAACAGTATATATATATATATATATACATATAGTTAAGTACAATGAAAGTGGTCTACAAAAAAACATTTTGTCTTAATTAAGAATTTGGAGTAAAAACAAGTAATCAAAACAACAAAAAAATAAATAAATAATTTCTTTCTGTCTCTCATTAATTTCTCTTTCAATTTGCTATTAAGTATTACTTAACTTAAGAAATATAGTTTTAAAAAAAGTCTAAATAATAAAGGGTTTGCAATATATTTCGACAAACGGTTACACCATTTGAGTGCTTGATTGAGGCCTTTAATAATCATATATTTACTTATATATACTTTATATACTATAGTATAATATACAGTATATATGTATATACCGGTGTATAATAATGTTTGACATAATTCTCACCTTTAAATATCTGTATTATATGTCATTGCAAATTATATATACAGTATATATATTATTTGTACAAATAATAATAATAAAATAAATCAAAGTGTTGAAAAACAAGTGTTAAATAAATTTTTTGTATTACTGTTTGTTATGTCGACACCACACCACCGACACAACAGCGGAAAAGTTTATTACAACTTTCAAAACAAAAAAACACTAAATTCAAAATTAATTTGCAATTATCTATTAATTTAGTATAAATTAACAAATATATATATATATATAATAACTATTTGTAAATTTATATAAAGATATATATAAATTATATTGCATTTTATATACACAGTTTATACGGTATTATAATTCTTAAGGTTATCATTGATTAATGGTAAAAGTACTTAAGGATAAATAATATATAATTAACTATTTTACTAATAGTAATAAGTGTCCAATTATAAACAAAAATTTTGTAAATAATAAATGTTATATATATATATTATTTATACAATAATATATATAACCAATGTTAAATATACATTTAACATTCAAAAAATAACTATTATTGAAATATTTATCCACACAATATGTAATTTACTTCAAATATGTAAATATGTATGATTTTTGTGAACTATACAATATTGATACGTAAAAATTACTCTCTATATAACATAAAAAATATATTTTATTTTTTATTTTTCATTATAATCATTGTATAACAGTAATCATAGTATTAAAAGGCAATAAAATATAAAAATGTGTGGAAAATAATATATTTTTGCTGTCAATATTACTGGTGCTGATGATGACTGTTGAACCCGTATATGATTTTTTTATAATAATAATAATTGATATTAAAGTAAGTATTTTTATATTAAATATTGGGTCTGTAATTCATCGGTAATATTATGAAAGAGAGAGAGAGAGAGAGAGAGATGTTAAGATTATAATATAATATAAATTATTTATAAAGTAATGTCTAACGCTATGTGGTTTTTTATAGGGAGCGCCCATCACTTGCTTTATATAATAT